TACAGTTAGTTCTTAACTTTGCAACCACTTTTGAGCCCAGAATTTTGGTCAGGAGTCGTTACCGGTCATCGGTCAAGTCACCACACAATCCCTGAATTACGTGATCATTTTCACAACGGTCCTTGAGCAAGTCGCGTGAGGTCATAAGCCAAAAGGCAGATTACCCAGCGGGCAACATCCCCTGGATTCCAGCCCCCCCCCCCCAGAAGTTGCAGTGGGAAAGAAGACCCTCTTGGGCTCACTGGAAGAGGCCCACTAGGCAGGGGGGCGACCCACATCCTGGGCCGGACGGTGCTTGTCCTGGCTGAATAAGCAAGGGAGAAGCATCCGTGCCGATCAACAGATGGCCCTGTTCTTCCCTCCACACAGAGACCTGAAGTGCGAGAACATTTTATTGGATGAACGTGGCTTCATTAAACTGACAGGTGAGTTTACTTCTCGGAAGAGAGGAAGATGGGATGGCCTCATCCTGCCTCTTGCAGTAGAAGGGAGCAGCATTACAGAACACATAGCAGTCCCGGGGGGGGGGGATCAACATGACACCCTCCCCCAATCAGCCCAAATGATCCAGGTTTCCTACCTGGTCTTTTGTGTGATTGCCTTTAAATACAAGAGGGAGTTTTCCTGCCTCAGTGACAACTCTGAGGAAGAGACCTGAAGCTGCAGTTGCTCCTTTCAGCAGGCTGTTTCCCATTTGGTCCCTTTCCCTGGCCTTTTGGAAGGCAAGATCCAAGTTCCCCAAGGAAGTTAATTAGTCCGTGAAGTGCTATGGACCTGAGGGACGTATAGACACCCTGGCCCTCTTCATGAGTCTAGGCCAGTGATGGCGAACCTTTTAGAGACCGAGTGCCCAAACTACAATCCAAAACCTACTTATGTATTGTCAGGTGCTGAGTGGGTGTGGCCCATTGGGTGGGTGTGGCCCATTGGTGGGCATGGCTGTGGTGGTAACAACAGACTGGGTGGGACTAAAAAGTTCGATCAATCAATTCCAACTTTGTGAGATTTTTTTTTCCCATGAGAAGTTGAAATTGATTGAACCTTTTTTTTTTTTTTGCACATGGTGGCGAAAGCCTAAGCAAAAAGGTTTTATAAAACCCAGCTGAAGGCCTAGGACTGGGGTGACAGAGTGCGTGCCCACAGAGAGGGCTCTGTGCCACCTGTGACCTGCGTGCCATAGGTTCGCCACCACGGGTCTAGGCTAATATCTCAAGAGTTATCATCTCAAGACAGGATAGCAGCCTTCCAATATCTGGGGGGCTGCCACAGAGGAGGGGGTCAACCTATTCTCCAAATGACCTGAGGGCAGGGCAAGAAGCAACCGATGGAAAGTTATCAAAGAGAGACCCAGCCTAGAACTAAGGAGAAATTTCCTGACAGCAAGAACAATTAATCAAGGGAACAGAAGTTGCCTTCCGAGGTTGTGGATGCTCCATCACTGGAAGTTTTTAAGAAGAGATTGGACAACCATGTGTCTGAAACGGTATAAGGTCTCCTGCACGAGCAGGGGGTTGGACTAGAAGACCTCCAAGGTCCCATCCAACTCTGTCATTCTGAGTTTTGCCTAGACCTCTCTTCCACGGAAGCTGACGCTTTATTGCTCTGCACACTGCCAAGCGCCGCAGTTTCTCCTAGCCTGTCTCTGTTCTACCTGGGGATAAATTTACCTGCGGGGGGGAGGGGCTGGGCTCCCGGGCCAGGTGGAGAATCTGACGGCTCCCCCTCCTTGCAGATTTCGGCTTTGCCAACCGCTATTCCTTGAAGAACTCCCTAATGAGCACCTTCTGTGGCTCTGTGGCCTACACCGCCCCCGAGATCCTCATGAGCAAGAAATACAATGGGGAGCTGGCTGACCTATGGAGCCTGTAAGCAGAGCCGGGGTGGGGGGTGGGGGGGCAGGGCCAAATGTGACCCGGAGGCCCCTCCTGACCCCCTCCTCTCGCACAGTGGGGTGATCCTCTACGCCATGGTGACAGGGAAGCTTCCCTTCAAGGAGCGGCAGCCCCACAAGATGATCCACGTGATCAAGCAAGGCCTGGCCTTCCGGCAGCCGATCTCGCCAGGTACCACGGGGGGGGGGGGAACGCCTCACCCACAGGGCTCAGCCGGGGGCAGGAGGGCTCTTCCCCCCCCCATCTGCCCTGCCTGACAAATGGGGCTCGGCTCTGTGTGGGGCGTCCTGCAGGGCCCGCAACTTGTGTCCGACCACAACAGCCTTGGGCCGCTGGCTCTTCCCTCTGCTGCCAGAGGGTGGCTTTGGGCTCAGACCCACAAGCGAGCCTGGCCCTTGGCAACCCCCCCAAAACCACGAGGAAGTGAGCCCCAGGGACAGGAGCACGGAGAGGGGGAGGCTGGCCTGGGGCAGCGGGGCAGAGCTCCCCTGGCCTGCTGGGGACGGGCTGCACCGCGGAGACCCCTGAAGGCCAGGAACCCAGTTCCAAGGAGGGGCTGCAGTGCCAGTCCTGCCACACCTCCTGATGGCCGACACCTTTGTGGGAGCAGGAAGACCCTGCGGCAAATGCCCCCCCCAGGTCCCTGTCTCCCCCTCAGTGTGCTAATATTTAGCAATAGCTCCCTCAGAGAGGAGGGGGACACAGTTGCAGAGTCCCACAGCAGACTTCTCCTCCCCCCAAGACATCCAACCCAACGGGAGGGGGAGGGGGCCTGGCTTGGCCTGTGCTGCAGAGCAGGTTCTGCCTGTGGGATATCAGAGTGGGGAGCCCAAAGAAACTCCAGGCAGCTGCAGCTTCACTGAGGAAGCCCCGGAATTCCAGTCCCAAAAGTGCTTTTCCAAAAGGCAACTGGACTTTCTTCGTTTTTTTCCCCTTGAAAATGTTTCACTTCTAGAAACAAAACATTTTCAAAGGAAAACACCAAGAAAGTCCAGTTGCCTTTTGGAAAAGCACCTTTGGGACACTATGACCCAGATGATGGAGCATCTCCATGGTCATCTAGCCCTGAGTTCCAGCTGCTCGGAAAATGCGCAGGAAGTGCCAGGCCTGGCCAGGTCCACCTACGGCTGACCCTCGGCCTGCAGTTCCCAGCAGGGTCTCCCGGGATCAGCAGATGGGGAGGAGGGGCCAAGCTTGACTTCTCCTTCTCGCCCCCCCCCCTCCAGAGTGCCAGAATCTCATCGAGGGGTTGCTGCAGCTGAAGCCGGCGGCCCGCCTGGGGTTGCAGCAGGTGGCCACGCACCGCTGGATGCTCCCGGCCACCTCGGCCATCTTCCACCGGGTGATGAGCTCCATGGGAGTCCATCCGGAGTGCTCCATGGGCCAAGAGAAGCCTCAGACGGCACCAGGTACCGGAGCGGTCTCAAGCGGGTCTCCTGCCCTGGGCCGAGCGACGCCGCGTGTCCCGCTGGGCAAAGAGGCGCGGGTGCCTCCTTCGAGTACCGCTCGGTGGCGGGGACGGCCAGCCGTCGCAAGCGGGGCCCAAGGCGTGACCGGGCGCCCCCTCCCTCCCGTCTCGTTGCAGGCGAGGCTGGCGGCCCCACGGCCCAGCTGCCGGACCTCGAGGGCCCCGCCAAGAGCGCCGAGGGCCCGGTCAAGGAGAGCAAGGTCCTGCCGCCCGCGCGCGCCTCCTCGGCCGCGGGCGCCTTCCCGCCCCGGGCCAAGGCCGAGCGGAAGAGCCCGCCGGTCACGCCGGCCAACTGCGTGCTGCAGCTGCCCTCGCCGCGCAAGACGGAGCGCCCGCCGCGCCTCTCGCTCTACCGGCCCAGCCTGCTGACCACGCTGCAGCCCTTCCACCACCTGCCCAACTTCCGCAAGCCCGGCTCGGGCTTCTCCGCCAGCGCCTACGTGGCCAGCAAGCGGCTGGGGGAGAAGGCTCCCGCCCGCGCCGCCGCCCTGGGCAGCGCCTCGGCCGGCCTCTCCAAGCAAGTGCACTCCCTCTACAGCATGACGCCCTGCCCGTGACGCCCGGCCCGCCCGTCCGCCGCCCGGCCCGGCCCTTCGCCCGCCGCCGCCGCCCGACGAGCCCCATTAAAGCTTATTCAGAGTCGCCCGGGCTGCTGCCTGCTGCGATGCGCGCGCCGCCCGCGGCGGTCCCGGACAAGAAAGACGGCTGGCCGGCCGCGCCGCTCCTCGTCTGTCCGCCCGCGCGATTGTCCGCTGTTTCTGCATATACATCCGTGTATCGTTGCTCTGTGTGGTGCTGTCTAACGCCCGTTCTTCCTCCGCTGAGCCCGGCCGCCCCCCCCCCGCCTGTCTGGGCACACCCGGCCACGCTCCCCTCTCCGCGACTCTTCCTAGGGCAGAGCAGGTCCGGGGTGGCCGCGTCCTCCGCCTCGATCTCCCTGCACTTGTCCAGAGCAGTTGCTCCAGGCCAACCCCCCCCTCGCCCCCCAACTTAATGATGGCTTTGTCCATTTGCTCAGCAGCTACCCCCGCCCTGCTTTCTGAAAAGGGGAGAGGGTCTTTCCCTCTCTCCCCATGGTTGGGGGGGTGTCCAATCTAAGGCTGCCTGCTCCAAGCATTGCCCCCCCCCATTCAGGGCTTCTGAAACGGAAATATCCCTTCATGTGACCAAACCAAGACCACCCCCCCATCCCCACCCTCCAAGTATCCACAACTGTTTATGAAAGCCGAGCCTGGCCTTTTCCGTCTCTGCAGACCCTTCCCCTGGGTCCACCCTCCTCACACTGGCCCTGGGGGGGGGGGGAATTCTCCAGCCAGAGGCTGCATTTCTGCCCTGAAAACAGCAGGGTCCTCCACAGTGCTCCCTGCCCCCTTTTGCCCTGTGCTGTGTTTCACTCCTGCCCCTTCCAGAGCAGCAGCCTCCTCCCCCACAAGTAGGGCTGGCAGCCAGGAGACCCTCCCCTCGCCAGCAAAGGAGGGGACCTTTTTCCTGCAGACCAGAGAAAGTGGCCACCTCAGCTCCCTCACCTACTGTGCACCTGCAACATGGCACCAGGGCCAAGGAGCGCCTGTCAGCCAGGCAGAGGCGCCTAGTGAGACTGCCCACTTCCCTGAGCGAGGCAAGAGGGCAGGGCCAGGAAGAAAAGTGCACCGCAGCCTTTATTGAGGGGAGCTCCAGCCCCCTTCACTCCCCTCTTCCGGGGGCTGGAGGGATGCCAGTTCTTGCCTGTCCAGGCTGCAGAGAAATGGCCTTCATGGGACCCTCAGTCCAGTCACTAGGCAGGGCCAAGGAGCGCCTTCGGCAGCAAAGGAGTTGACGGGTTTTCGGTGCCCAAACAGCGGGACCAGCTGCAAAGAAGGAAGTTCTTTCTCACCCACCTATGGAGGGGGCTCCTCCCTCTTTCACGCAGCTCTTTCCTCTTCCTCCTCCTGGTCCAGGCGCTGCAGCTGCTGCTCCACCTCTGGGGGGATCTTCACCTCCAGCAGGTTTTCCATCCCAGCCTCAGGCTCGTCACCAATCAGGACCTGCTCAGGGCAAACACCTCCAGGCCTCAGGGGGGCACCTAGGAGTAGTCTAAAACTCCCCACCCCCTCTTCATCATAAGGGAAGGGTCCAAAGCCCCCCCCCTCACCTGGATCAGCTTTTCGCAGGCAGTGCGGACTCCGCGGTCCTCCTCCCACTTGTGCAACTCTCGCAGGACAAAGTAGGTGCCTTTCTCTCGCACCTGGAGCCGCCCCGGTTTGGTGGCTGTGAGCTGTCAAGAGGAGGGGGGGTCACTGGCTGTGGGGCCTCCAGAGCAGTGATGGTGAACCTTTAAGAGACCGAGTGCCCAAACTGCAACCCAAAACCCACTTATGCATCGTCAAACGCTGGCTGGGTGTGGCCAATTGAGTGGGTGTGGCCCATTGGGTGGGCATGGCTGCAGTGGTAACGGCAGACTGGGTGGGACTAAAAAGTTCAATCAATCAATTCCAACTTTGCAAGATCTTTTTTTTCCCACAAGAAGTTGAAATTGACTGATTGAACCTTTTTTTTTTTTTTTTTGCACACAGCAGCAAAAAGGTTTTATAACCCAGCTGAAGGCCTAGGACTGGGGCGAGGGCACGTGTGCCCACAGAGAGGGCTCCGAGTGCCACCTGTGGCACCCGTGCCATAGGTTCGCCACCACTGCTCTAGAGGGAAGCCATTAGCCTGGGGCGCTGCGCCCCTTGGAGGATCACTTTCTTGGGAGCAGAAGACCTCTGGACCTCTTGCCCACAGCCAGAAAAGGAATCCAGCAGCCTGGTTGGGTGGGGCAGGCTCTTGGGGGGGGGGGATAGGAGACCCAGGCTGTGTCTTCCAGGCCTCCCCCTTGCCATCAAGGTCCACAACAAAGTTGATGCAAGGAAGCAAAAGGATCCCTCTTTTCCAGAGTTGCACAAAAGGTGCAGATTGGGACACACTGGGGGGGGGGCAGGGGGAGACTCAATTCACAAGGGTTTGTGGGGAAGAGCTGGGAGGTCCCTCAAGATCTTGGTGGTGATGTGGGTGAGCTCCGTAGCCCAGGGGAAGCTGCTTCCAGGGCCCACTTGGCAGGTTCCTGAGCACAGAGCACCCCCACGTACCCTCCCCCCACCCGACCTGCCCACCTACCAGCAGGAGGGTCTCCAGGAGCATCTTGCGAATGTCAGCTTCCGGCTCCCGCTGCTTGTCGGCTGGCAAATACTGCAGATCCAGGGGCAGTCCTGCGGGGTTCAGGAGCGGGTGGGTCAAAGAAGGGCGCAGGGCAGGGCACCAGCCACGGTGTAGCCTCCGGGGGTCTCTGTCCCCTGCCGTCCCTCGCCCGGAGAAGGCACCCACTTTCCATCTCATCCTCCGGGAGTTCCTCGGGGCCCGCCAGGGGCAGGAGAAGGAAGGGCAGCAGGTCCACTTGCTCGTTCAGCAGCCACTCGTGGTGCCCTGGAAAGCAGACAGCCCGTGACCAGACCGGACCGGCGCTGCTCGCCCAGAGCCGAAGCGAAGCCGGTGCCACTCACGGGAGTCGAAGCAACAGTTCCGCAGCGTTCCCGCCACGCCGCACCGCCGGACCGCCGAGCCCGCGTCCTGCGTGAAGGGCAGCAGCCTCTGCACCAGGCACCTAAGGCGAGAGCCGGGTCAGCCGCCGCGCCCCGCCAGTCCGGAGCGCCCCCCCCCCGGCCCGCCTTACCCGGCGCGGTCGAGCAGGGCGTCGCGGGCCTCCGGGAGCTGGCTCAGGTTGGCCAGCAGCGCGCCCAGGTGGTGCCAGGGCGCCCCGGGACGCGGGTCCGGCCCGCAGAAGGCCTCCAGCAGCGGCAGCAGCCCCGCGCCGCCCCGCCGCAGCTCGGCCCAGAGCTCCCGGCAGGGGCCCTCCTCGCGGGACCAGTTGGCCAGCAGCGTGCAGGCCGCCTGGGCCAGGGGGAAGGCGGGGTCGAGCAGGCGGCGCAGCAGGTCCGGCAGCCCGCCCCGCAGCGCTCCGGCCGCCCCCGGCTCCGCCGCCAGGTTGACCAGCGCGTGCAAGGCGGGCTCGGCCACCGCGAGGCTCGGGTCGCCGCTCAGCGCCAGCAGCGCCTCCAGGAAGTCCGGGCGGTCGAGCAGCAGCCGGCGGCCCTCGGCGCCCCCGGTCAGCCCCAGCACGAAGCGGACGGCGCCGCCCTTCAGGTCCCCGCGGGCCTCGGGCCGGAGGAAGGCCAGCAGCTCCCGCGCCCCCGCCTCGTCCATGCTGGGCCGGCCGCTTCCGCGGTCGCCGCGCCCCGCCAATCCGCGCCCGGGGCTGGCGGAGGGGCGTGGCGAGAGAGGGCCCGAAGTGCTCCTTAGCCAATCGGAAGAGGCCTTTCGGAGCGCCGCCTCTCGGGAGTTGAAGTCCGGCTCCCGGCCGCATCCTCGACGTCAGTCAGGCAGAGGCTCGGCCTGGGCGGGCCGCTCCGAAGGGGGTTCCCGGGCGGGCTTTAGGGCAGCAGCCCCCGCGGAGGGGAGCCCACCTGGCCTCTGGGGAGAGGTTCGCTCCCTCTGGAAGAAGCGCCTGAGGCCGCTGGCCTCCCTTGCGGCTCCGGCGGGAGGTTTGCTAGGAATCGGCGCTCAAGGAGATCCCCATTCCTGACTCAAAGGGTCGGGATCCCGCCTTGGGATGCATGGCCTTTTCGGCGCCGTTTCTCTCCGCATCAATTAGGACATTGGCCGTGTAACTAACTAACACACACACACTCTTTATTGTTGCTCTCTAGCCAAACCCCACTTCAGCCCGGCACCCCCCAACCTCGTGGCCCCCCAATTTCTGCCTGTCCAGCCAACGCCGCCCACGTCATTGGCCGCCGGGTGGCTGCTTCGAGTAAAGGCCTGGCCTTAAATTCTTGACTCGAAACAGTCACCCAGCGGGCGAATTCTGGCTTCGTTCTTTCATTCCTTCCATCCACGTTCATCACCAAATGTGAGATACACCGCCTCCCCCCCCCCTAAATCTGAACGACTTAAAGCACCCTTTGAGAAAATTTCCATAGCAAGCTGAATTGGCCCCTCATGGGAACAGGAGGAATAATCAGGCGGGAACTGGTGGCCCAGCAAACCACCATATCCTTGGTTCTATCCGAGATTGTGCAGCTAGCATGCTGGCCTCAAAGGGGCCAAAGGTCACCAGGTGGGTTATGAAAAACTTTCCAACTTGTTATTTACAGGGTTTGCTTCTGTGCCTGCTGTTCTGCTTTTACTCAGGGCTGTCCAACAAGTTGCCACTGCTTTGTTGCAACCCGGTGCAGCCTGTTTGTATGCTTAATGCATGCATGTTGCATCTTCACAGCTCTCTCAGCTGCAGGCGAACCAGATTTTGCTCAGAATCCAGCACTGGACACCATTCCTTGAAACCTTAGTTGGCACCTCACAAGTCACGGATCCCAATGTGTTTTATGTGTATCTATACTTGGTATAGTACCTTGTTCATAAAGTAGTCTCATCATCCAATAAATTGTTTTATTTTTCTATTAATTTATACGGTTTGTAAGTTTACAGTCCTTCTCTTTACTATTATTTTTGGAAAAACACCCTTGTTTTTTTATAGTAATTGCACAAAGTACCCCTAATAAAGATGAACACTGAAATAATTATCACAGATATCAGAGAAAAACAGCTAAGAGCTACTGGGGAAAGTTACTGTAGGCCAACAAATATTGTAAGCATTCAAGCAAAGAAGTGAAAACAAGCTCCCCTAATTGCTTAAAGGAAAAACAACAACCCCAATTTCTATTTCTATTTCAGAAGCTCAAGAAGAACTTGTCTCTTTCAACTGTCTGGAAGAACCATCACCATAATCTAGATTAGTGTGTCTCAACCTCAACAGTTTAAGGCATGTGGTCAACCTGAAGATACGTGGACTTCAACACATGCTTGAATTCTGGGAATTGGAAGTCCACTTATTTTCATCTAACTTGAACATTATTTTCAAAAATGCTTATCTAGCGAATTCCAGAACAAAGGACTTTTAGAGCAGGGGTCCCCAACCTCGGCAACTTTAAGACCTGTGGACTTCAACTCCCAGAATTCTCCAGCCAGCACATGCTGGCTGGGTAATTCTGGGAGTTGAAGTCCACAGGTCTTAAAAGTTGCCACGGTTGGGGACCCCTGCTTTAGATAATTCAACGGAACGGAGAATTTGCAGAACGTTGCCCAGCTTTAAGACTTTCCTCTCTCCCACTTCAGCAGTTGTGGGCAGTAGACGGGACTGTGGCTTCCAAGCCCTCTTCTCTTGCTTGTAACCATCAGCAGGTGACACCCGATGCCTTCCAGGTCTTGTTCTCCCCCGTTAAGCTCCAATGGGGGGGGGGTCAGCCACCTGCTTTTGCCCAGGAGACGCATTGGAGGCTCCCAGTGAGCCTTTTAAAAGAGCTACATTTCAAGACCGAAGCTCAGAAATGAGAAGGACTTCTGCACAAGTGGTTTACACAGAAATGGGTTTTCCACTGCCAGAACACCGCCTGCAGGGGGAGGCTCAGACCCCTCCCCACGTTTGAGCAGTGCCTGTGTTGTGTGTGTGTGTGCAGAGGCGGAAGAGCTACAGCTCAAAGCAAGTCTTCTTGGCTGGGAGATGTGCCTCTTCTTCCTTCACGGTGAGGCTTGGGGGCTTCCCGTGTGTTCCCTTGTTGACTCCGACCCAGAGGAGGCCTGCTGGGGTCAAGGAAGAAGGAGATCAGACCTCCTGCTTGCCAAAGGCACAAGGCTTGCAGGTGGTCTGTTCCAGAACGAAGAGCTTCCCTGCCCTGTCTCCCTCCCTCCAGCTGAATCGCTCCTCCTCCATAAACAGAACAGCGTGGACCTCGAACGCAGAGCCGGCCCTGGGTGAAACAGCCCCGAAGGCCAGAGGAGCCTTTCCCGCCCAGCCTCCTCCTGCAGGGCCAGGGGAGGCCTAGTGCAAAGAGGCCAAGAGGCGTCTCTGCACTCTGGAGAGCAGCGAATGGGTCCTTCTCTTGCAGTGAGGAGGAAGAGTGGTGGATTCCCCAAAGGCTGTTGCTTGGCGTGGGACTTAGGGCTAGGCGAGGGGTAGGCAACCTCAGCTCTTTTATGACTCGTGGACTTCAACTCCCAGAATTCCTGAAGGGAAAGGGAGAGGTTTGCAAGCTGAGCCATGGTGGCTCAGGAATTCTGGGAGTTGAAGTCCACAAGTCATAAAAGGGCCAAGTTTGAAGACTCCTGTCTTAAATCTAACAAACAAAATGGAGGCTGGCTGAGGAATTCTGGGAGTTGAAGTCCACCCTGGTCTAGGGCAGGGGTAGGCAACCTCGGCTCTTTTATGACTCATGGATTTCAATTCCCAGAATTCCTGAGCCAGCCATGCTGAGGGGAAAGGGAGAGGTTTGCAAGCTGAGCCATGCTGGCCCAGGAATTCTGGGAGTTGAAATCCACCAGTCATAAAAGAGCCAAGGTGGCCTACCCTGGGCTAGGATCAGAGCTAATAGCTGCTCCAAAGCTGTTGTACCTGCAGAATGGGTCACTGCCAGGGGCTCACCCTCGAGGTCCTTGACCACCTGAAAACATAACACCAGCACCTGAGTTTGAAGAACCAAGAGGCCGGGAGCACCCAAATCTATCATTCCGGTCAGAGTGTCTCGGCTGCAGCTGTCTGTCTCCTGCCACTGGGCCTCCCACCCTCTCCCTACCAGCCGGACTCCCCCAACAGCTGCTGCCCACCCCATCTCGACAGCGGCTCTCCCCAGGAGCTCCCTCACCCCCGATGGTGGACTCTGCCAGCCGAACTGGGCTCCCTGAGTTGTCCTCGGCCAAAGGGCACATACTGGCTGACTTGCCAAGCAAAGGCCGCCTGGTGCCAGCTGGCTCCAGCAGCTAGAGCAGTGGTTCTCAACCTGTGGGTCGGGACCCCATTTGGGGTCGAACGACCATTTCACGGGGGTCGCCAAACAAGGCTGTCCGCCATTTTTTTCCCCTTTTCTTTGGCCACGCCCCTGGCACCCGGTGATGTATAAGTGGTTGGGGGTCACCACAATATGGGGAACTGTATTATGGGGTCGCGGCATTAGAAAGGTTGAGAACCACTGAGCTAGAGAGACATTTTCCTTGGGGGCTCCAGCAGCAGCTCCCCCCAAAGCCCCCAGCCGGCCAGCCCCTGAAGGGCAGCTCTCCTCCAGTCTCACTACAATCCAGAAAGGGAACAGAGGAGAGGTGGACGGCTGGGAGGTCAGCAAGAGATGCCAATCTCTAGCTCAGAGGTCCCCAACCCCCAGTCCGTGGACTGGCACCAGGCCGTGGCATGCCAGCAATCGATTGTGTAAACAAGCGAAGCCACATCCGTGGGATGCAGGCAGCACACGAAATCAGGCCCCCTCTGGTCCACGGAAAAATCTTTCTCCATAGAACCGGTTCCTGGTGCCCAAAAGGTTGGAGGCTTCTGCCTAGCTGTCCCCCCCCCCATTTATTTCCTGTTTTACAGCACTGAATCATCAATCTAAACAGCTTCAATCAATCAATCAGTCAGAATAGAGGAGGTCTTCTAGTCCAACCCCCTCCAGGGGTAGGCAACCTTGGCTCTTTTATGACTCGTGGACTTCAACTCCCAGAATTCCTGAGCCAGGAATTGAAGTCCACGAGTCATAAAAGAGCCAAGGTTGCCTACCCCTGCCCTAGACCACTCCAGACCAATGGCTGTCCAGTCTCTTCTTAAAAGCCTCCAGTGACGGAGCCCCCACCACTTCTGGAGGCAACTTCCGTTCCACTGGTTAATTGCTCACGCTGCCAGGAAATTTCTCCTTAATTCTAAGTTGGTTCTCCTTGATTAGTTTCCGTTCATTGTTTCTTGTTTCCCAACTACAGCATGCTTGTAATTGTTTTTAATTCAATTATCTTAATTGTTTTAAATTGTTCCCTAATTACAGTTGAGACGGTTTTCCAATCTTCCCAGCAACAGGGATGTCCTGCACTGTCATGTTCTACTAGTCTGCCCACATCTGACTGATTTTCCCTCCCAGGAAAGACTGACGTGGGCTTGATTAATCCCCAGCTCATGTTCATCTGAGCCACAAATGTGGTCTGGTTCTTGATGCCTCATCTCCTCTCCTCACTGCTATGAACGGGACCAAGATGGACTCTAACAGGAGGCACAAGTTGCAGCCAAAGAGGGGGTCCCTCCCACCAAGGGGACCCAGAAAGGAAAGCTAAGCAGCCCCTTCCTTCTGGAGTGGATCCCGCAGGACACCAGGCTGCCCTAGTGGGGACCTTTCCTAATCTGGCTTTTGGGCCTACCATGAACACTTACCGGACACGGAGAGCCGTCTGGAAGGAAGGCGCCTTCTGGGCTGCAGCTTCCCAGGAGGGCTGCGGAATGGCTGGTGGGCTCCGTTTCTGCTCTCTGGCTGCATCTGGAGAAGGGCAGAGGGGAGCAGGGGTAGCCAGGCCCTCCCGACTCTTCCAAGCTCCCACCGATAACTTAACCCGCTTCGCTCCTGCAGTAACCTAATCCCGCCTGTCTCCTTTGCCGAGGATAAAGCATATAAGGAAAGGTTGCTGGAATTGGGTATGTCCAGTTTAATGAAGAGAAGGACGAGGGGGGACAGGATAGCAGTCTTCCAGTATCTCAGGGGCTGCCCCAAAGAAGAGGGAGTCAAGCTATTCTCCAAAGCGCCTGAAGGAAGGACAAGAAGCAACAGATGGAAACTAATCAAGGAGAGAAGCAACCGGGAACGAAGGAGAAACTTCTTGACAGTGAGGACAATTAACCAGTGGAACTACCTGCCTCCAGAAGTGGTGAATGCGCCAACACTGGAAGTCTTTAAGAAGAGACTGGACAGCCATTTGTCTGAAATGGTATAGGGTTTCTTGCCTGAGCAGGGGGATGGACTAGATGACCTCCAAGGTCCCTTCCAACTTTATCATCATCATGATCATGATCATCATCATTTTACCTGCGGTGTCATTTTATAATTGGTGGTGGTTTTAATGTCTTTTAAAGTTTTTATGTTATAAGCTGCCCTTGGATACAAGATGGGCGGCAAATAAATTTCATAATAAATAACCAATAAATACTCCAGCCTTCTGTTCTCTGGGGCTAATTTGGGCCCAGAAAACAGGGCCTCAGATCAAGGGCAGAGCGGGAGACGATTGAGCCCTGATGAGCGAAAGGGAAGAGAGGATCTGCCCCCCTCGGAGTGTCTGGGGGGGGAAGAGCTGTGCACCCCACATGCGAGGAGTTTTACAATCAATTACAATTAGAATACAACTGTAAGGGACCTTGGAGGTCTTCTAGTCCAGCCCCCTGCTCAAGCAGGAGACCCTATATGCCATTTCAGACAAGTGGCTGTCCAGTCTCTTCTTAAAAACCTCCAGTGACCACAACTTCTGAAGGCAACGTCCGTTCCACTGGTTAATTGTTCTCACTGTAAGAAAGTTTCTCCTTATTTCTAGCCTGCTTCTCTCCTTGATTAGTTTCCATCCAATGTTTCTTGTCCTGCCCACTGGTGTTTTGGAGAACAGTTTGACCCCCTCTTCTGTGGCAGCCCCTCATGTCCCCCCTAGTCCTTCTTTTCTCTAGACTGACTGTACCCAAATCCTTGCAACCGTTCTTCATATGTCTTCATCGTTCTAGTTGCTCTTCTCTGCACTTTTCCCAAAGTCTCAACATCTTTTTTTGCAACATGATGACCAAAACTGGATGCAGCATTCCAGGGGTGACCTTACTAAGGCTCTATAAAGCGGTAGTTTTACACGTTTTGAAGGAGTCTGCCAAGAAAGACATACAAGGGGGGACCCCTGACCCCAAGTGTCGTCCCCCCAATACCCCAGCTGAACATGGATGTTAACCCACCCATGAACCTCCTCCATGGCCAGGGAGCGTCTTCTCGCTGAAACTACCCTAGAATCGGGGCCTGGCCTGCTGGCTCCGGCCTTTGCGGGAAGACCAAACCGATTCCAAATTCAGCACAAAATGCAAGCACTTACTGCAGCCCAGGGTAGCCTGCAGGCCCCACGGAGTGAAGCCTGGTCTTCTTCTCCAGCTGCAAGAGGACCCCCTCCCAGGCTCTCTTTCTGCCATGGGGGTGCCAGGGAAGAACAGGGGGCTGCAACGGCTGCCCAGCAGCGGCATCGAGCACCATGGGCTCAGGAGTAGAAGCCACTCGTGGCTCACCTGACTCAGCACTTTCTGGTCTCTGCTGGGAGAAAAAATGGGGACTAAACCATGAATTGCAGCAGATGCTGGTCTAAAAATCAGGAGATGCGAGTTCTAGTCCTGTCTTAGGCATGAAACCGGGTCGAGGGACCTGGGCTAGTCCCTCTCTCAGCCCAACCCACCTCACAGGGTTGTTTTTGTAGGGAAAAGGGGAGGAGGGAGGTATGTTTGCTCTCTTAAGTTATCTGAAAGAATAATAAAGGGGGGACAGAAATTGAATCGGTAAATAAAAATAATCCAGCAGTTAACAAAGGCTGCAAGATGGAGAAGTACTTGGATTGTGAAATAGGGACGGTGTCTGCCTTCCTGCCCAGAGGGTGCTGGGGCTCCAGCAGGCACGGCTGAAACAAGAGGGGCGCACAGAGGCTGCCACCCCCCCTCCCCCACACGCAGCATTTTTCCACACCAATTTCCACAGCAACAGGTACAAAAGCCTCCCACTCCTCACCTGGCCTGGGTAGAAGACTCCCAGCGACACAAGCTCCTCCCATCCTTGCTCCGGGCTGAGCTCCTGCACGCGGGAGGCGTCGCTGAGCCTGGCTGCCAGGCAGTGCCTGAGCTTGGGAAGCTGCCTCTCGCCCTGGGACGCTTCCCGGATGACCAGGGCCTCCTGGCTGCCCAGCCCTGGGAAGAAGCAGCAAACCCTGGTCATTATCCTGGCCCCTCTGGGCACCAGGGCCGGCTGGGGGAGGAGCAGGGAAGGGCTGCCAAAGGGGGTCCCTTGAGGGTCCGTGCCAAGCTGTGGCGCAGAAGCCTCCGTGCAGGGCAGGTGCCAGAGAAGGGGCAGACGCTGAACGGAGGCCGACGGACCTTGCCTCCCCCCCCCCCGCAGCAACGGCAGCCCTTTTGCCTGTCTTCCCTTCCCGCTTCTGCTCACCAGGGCTGGGCATTGGGATTCTGCACTGGAAGCAAATTTCCCGGGCGGCTTTTGCAGAGACGTGCAGGATGAGGCAGCCCAGAGGCAGGCAGCATTCCCAGCGGGAGACGCTCCTGAGGGGGAGGGCCGCCTTGGTGGGGTCACCTGGGAAGGCAACCGCACCACAGGTCAACGTGGGGGGGCTCTCTGTCTGGCCTCCCCACACAAAACCCGCCTTCCAAGCTTCTTAAAACTAACACCAAGCCAGGATCCCGCCTCGGACACCCAAAAGCCGTCTTATTTTGCCCAAGTTACCAGGTGCGGCTCCGAGGCTGGGCATCGTCTGGAGCCAGTGCTTGGACTGAGGGACCCCTACAGGAGGTCCTCACTTAACAGCCATTTGGTCAGCAGTTGTTAAAAGTTATGAATGGGACGTATGTCCAGTTCTTGAAATTACGGCTGTTGCAGTGCCCCTCTGCTCACAGACTCAACATTTGGGGGCTTGGGGGGGGGGTTGAAGCAGACCCTCTCCTGCCAAAGGGAGCTGGCTTGCTCCCCTCCTTGGCCCCTGGCGAAGAGGCAGAGGGACAATGTGTGAGGCTCCCACCCAGTGACACAGCCGGCACTAATGGAGCCGCCATCGTGAAGCAATGCAATTACGTGTTTGGCCAAACAGCTGCTTTGCTTAGGGATGGAAGTCCTGTTCCAATTAGGGTTGTTATATGAGGACCATCTGGACTGTTGCTGGACAGCAGCCAATGAGGCCCTTCTCTGCTTCCAAGTCGGGGTCCCCAACCCCCGGGCCACGGCCGGTTTGAAAACGGGCCACGTGAGCGATGGGCAAGCGAGCGTGTGAAGCTCCAGTGGCAGGAGCGGTGGACACGTGTGCTTGCACGCAAAGCTCCACCCATGTGAACAGAAGGCACACCCACCGGCTGCTTGCACCAATGGAGTTGTGTTCAAGCGTTCACATTTGCCATTCACGTGGCCACCCACGCGGGTCTGCCAAGGCGGAAAAGTTGGGGGCCAACGGCAAACTCTCCCCATTGCTAGAGGGTCACAGGGGTCGGCCACTTTACGAGACTCCTCTGCGGCAGCGCCCGCCTGGAGGGAGGGGGGCACACGGAGGGTCACGCCAGGAAGCATCGGTCAACATGAGGCCCACTCAGAGAGCGGCTGTGGGGCATCACGGCCACTGTTTTCAAAGGCCAGTTTTGCCCAAAGCTAGCTGCAGAGTGGGACCAGGACCCGTCAGTCAGAGCCAGCCTGGCACCTCCATGCCCCCCCGCCCCTCTTCTCCCGAGTCCCCAAGCGCCCTACCCACCATCAGCTGAGACGAGAGGCCCCACAAAGAAGCCACCAAGCAGCTTCTGGATCAAGCCCTTCATCCCCTGCACGGGCGCCTGTGCCAGCCCTCCTCCCAACACGGTTAGGACACTCACCCGCCAGCGTCAAGGTGATATGATCCTCAGATACCTTTAAAGACAAAAAGAGAGACTGGAGTGAGAGGGAGCTAACTTGGGCCTGGAAAGGAGGAAGCGTAAATGAAAGGGCAAATGAAGAAACGCCACCGGCACCTTTTGGGCAGGAAGTGGGCACGCAGGAAGACACCAACGGCCCAATCTGTGGGGAGAATGACTCCGAGAGAAGCGTTAACTCCAGAGCGGAGAGGAAAAAACCCCTCACACAAACACACCTCGGGCTCATTCTGGGCTCACACCCGCAACTCGACCGGCTGTTTCCTTCTGCTCCGAGAGCGGATTTTCCCCTCAAGATGCTAAATTCTGGGCAGGCCTTTTGGGTAGGCCCTCCGGGCTCCCCTGAAGGGCACCCGAGGCAGGCAAACCAAGTGGAATGGTCACAAAGTCTCACTGAATGGTCTCACTGTCAGGAAGAAACTTCCCGACAGTTAGAACAATTAACCAGTGGAACCACCTGCCTTCAGAAGCAGTGAATGCTCCAACACTGGAAGTTTTTAAGAAGAGACTGGACAGCCATTTGTCCGAAATGGTATAGGGTTTCCTGCCTGAGCAGGGGTTGGACTAGATGACCTCCAAGGTCCCTTCCAACTTTACTACTACTACTACTACTACTACTACTACTATTAAAGGGAAGCTGGCAGGATCTCTGCTTCTCCTGCTGGAGTGACCAGGGACTGATGAACCTGGCCCTTTGGCTTTACAGTCCTCCATTTACAACAGTTTGTTTAGTGACTGTTCAAAGTTTCAACAGCACTGAAAAAAGCGACATGACCCCTTTTTCACGCTTATGGGCGTTCCAGCGTCCCCAGGGTCACGTGATCAAGATTTGGCCGCTTGGCAATTGACTCGTATTTATGACGGATGTGGCGTCCCGGAGGGGGTCACGTCATCCCCTTTTGCGTCCTGAGAAGCAAAGTCAGTGGGGGAAGAAGCTGGATTCTCTTAACAGCCACTATACTAACTTAACAACTGCAGTGATTCCCTTAACAACTGTGGCAAGAAAGGTCGTAAAACGGGGCAAAATTAACAAGTGTCTCGCTTAGCAATGGAAATTTGAGGCGCAACTGTGGTCAAAAGTTGAGGACTGCCTATATTAATAACTTTGGACACTGCGGTGAAACACTTTGTAAAGCCAGGCGCAGTTTGGAAGATTTCTGCCAGTCCTGAGGGGACCGGCTTTGCCCTCGTCGTTGCCCAGGTGCCGCCTGCTGGCATCTCCTCAGCCCCCACGCTGCCCCTCCCCTCGAGCCCAAAGGCAAACCGCGACCTACCTCAATGTCCGAGAGGCGGGGGAGAGAGAGGGCTCCGACTCGGACATCCATGGACGTGGCCGGAAGGCTTACGTGATCCCTATTTCCCAGCAGTTTGGCCTCGGTCCCCGGAGGCTGCTCCTCTGGCTGCAGGGCCACGGGCAGCATGTAGTCCACGCCCGAGCGCTGGCAGATCTTGTCCACTTTGGCACAGAGATGCTGAAGTTCTGGGAAAGGGCGGCATAAGAGCCAGTTAAGTCCCTCTTTGAGCTGCCATATCCCAGGATGAGAATCGGTACGAGGGACGTGATGGCAAGGGTCACCAACCCCCGTTTCCGTGGACTGGTACCAGGCCGCAGCATGCCAGCAACCAGTCCGCCCAAGCAAGCAAAGCCCCATCCGTGGGATGCAGGCAGCACACAAAACCACACCCTCCGGTCTGCAGGAAAACCTCTCTTCACGTAACCGGTCCCTGGTGCCCAAAAGGTTGGGGACCTCTGACCTAAGAGAACTGGCAAAGGGTGGCCACACCAAATACCTATTTGGTTTGGCGTTCTCTTCTGTTCATTTACTTTCCATTTTGTTAATTGATAAAAAACAAACTATTAATGCTTCTGCTTCTGAAGGCATTCTGAATCGCAGCTTTTTTGCACAGGGGCCTAACACAGGGGTAGGCAACCTTGGCTCTTTTATGACTGGGAGTTGAGGTCCATGAGTCATAAAAGAGCCGAGGTTGCCTACCCCCGGCCTAACACTTCTGCACAGTACTGCATGCTAAGGCAGAACAGAGCTGGGCTCCAGGAAAAGCACCTGACGGAGACCCCGGGGGGCTTAAGAGTGGCTGTTGGAGGGCAGGACAACCACGAGGTAAAAGGGCTGCCTCAAAATTGTATTCAAAAGGTGCGTGATGGGATGCTGCAAGATTCAGACCTGGCTGTTTACCTTTAATTTTATTTATTCTCGGTTTCTAACAAAATATTAAAACATAAAAAAATATATATAAAATTTAAAAGAGGCAAAGTTGATTAAAATTCAATGTTAAAAGTTAATTAAAAGGTGTGGTGGGGGTGACCTCAGGGCTATGTGCTCCTCTGCACTCCCCAAGGAAGACAGCAGAGCCACGATTCCAGATTTTTCCAAAACGCCAGGAGTGTGCGTGTGCGTGTGTCTCACCTCTGGGCAATTCTATGGAGGACGTTTCATGGGTAAAACAAGTAAGAACAGATTAGGGATGAGATTCAGATGATTAACCATGTTCAGGGCTCCTTTGAAAGGGGTTCACTTGGAAGGAGGAACAACAAGCTGTGGATGGGGCAGCCATTAGATGAATCAGGATCCATGCAGGGGGAGGCCAGTGGAAGTGGGGCTATAGTTTCACTGGTCTGTTCTTTAAAGTCCAGTTGTGAGGGAATATCACCTCTGGGATGAACATCAGGAGGGTTATAAAGAGGTTGTGTGTTACAACAATCAGCTTGGTGCTCCCTTCCTTTGTCTGGATGAATTTTGGGCTGGAGCACCTTTTTTTGTTTGTACTTTGGAGGTGTTAGTGACTCAGAGAATGACCTTTTCAGCTTTTCAACAGGAGGACAACAGGAGGGTAGTGTTGAGAGACTCAGTTGCAACAGTCACTGACTGAAGCATTAACTGCCTCATGTTTACAGGGGCAATTGCAGAGGACTCCTCCCCCAATTGGAATTCTTTAGCTGATGGGGTCCACAATGCACCCACTCTACTTGACTGGATGGGACTTCCGGTTTGCCACACGGCTGCCATGGACAGCTGGGAGACTTGCTCTCTCTCCCCCGTTAGATTTTGCATCGCTGGGGGGCCCTGAAAAGGGCCAAAAGTTGCCCCAGCAAGGAGGGGCTCTCGCTGAATCACAGAAGAGCAGTAACTCTCCCATTAGAGCTGGCGATTCCTCCAAACCGGCGGACGAAAGGACCAGCCATAGAAATATGGCTCATCCCTAGGCCACGGAGAGGCTTTAAAGGTCACAAGTAACACCTTGAATCGGGTCCAGAAGCAGACTGGCACCCACAGCAGTGGCCAAGGCGCTACTGGTGCCATCTTGGGGGCACCAAAGGCTGCTCAGATGGCCGCATTCTGTACCAACTGAAGCTTCTGAACAGTCTCCAAGGGTTGCCCCTCCAGCTCAGCCTCTGCTGTAATGGGACCAGACGTGCCCCAGGTTTCAGGGGGGGATTTCCCCTTGCTAGGTGGGGCAGCTGCGGCCTCACCTGGGCCTGGGGGCAAATCCCCCCTTGGGGCAGGTGAGCAAGGCCTGCCTTACCTGGAAGGATCTCCTTGTTCTTCTGGACCGGCCTCAGCAGCGGCTCGAACTGCATCCTTATGGAGGTGGCCAGCTCCTGGGCCACGGTCTTCAGGCTGCAGCGGATGGACAGCTGGGGGGGAAGCAGGAGTGAAGCCGCCTGGCCAGGCCAAGGTCCTCTCTGCCCCCTCCCCAAACAGCAAGTGGGGGAAGGGGGTCGCACAGCCGCCTGCTGGATCCCCCCCCACACATAGGGGATGGCTGCAGTCTTCCCTGGGTCAGGAGGGGCCATGATGGGGTGCAGCCGACCCACAGCTCAAGTCTGGGAAAAGCTACAGGGGATCCTCGACTTAAAAGGTCTGTTGCTAAGTGAGACACTGGGAGCTTTGCCCCACTCTACAAGCTTTTTTTGCCAGAGTGGTTAAGCGAATCGCTGCACTTGTTAGGTTAGGAACACGGTCGCTAAATGAATTTGGTTTCCCCACTGAGTTTGTTTGTCAGGAGGTCGCAAAAGGGGATTGTGTGACCCCGGCAGCCGTCGTAAATAGGAACTGGCTGCCAAATGCCCCAATTTTGATCATGTGACCGTGTGCTGCAATGGTCGTAAAGTGTTTTGTAAAAAAAAAGGTGCCATAACTCACATGTCACACAACCCGCCTTGCCTACCCTACAAGGTTTACCTCTGTAGTTGAAAAAAAAAACAACCCCTTCCGACAGACCGTTGGCCATTTTGGGGCAACCTCACCTGGAGGAGTTCCAGTTGCTGCCACAGCTTCTCCACGGCCGAATCAAAGAGGGCGTCCTTCTGCCGGTGGATGAACGTCTCCATCTCCTCTTTCATTCTTCGGAAGTATCCTGGGCCGGAGAGCCGGGAGCAGGCTGCAAAGCGATTTCAAAAGTTGGTCTTGCCCTGTCATGGATCTGGCATCCTTCACACTGCCCCGGGGGATCAGCTAATGTAGACAGTCCTCGGTTTACAGCATTTAGTGACTGTTCAAAGTTACAACGGCACCGAAAAAAGGGACTTATGACTGTATTTGTCACTTATGACTGTTGGACACGTGATTTACATTCAGATGCTTGACAAAGGACTGACAGTTATGACGGAGTTGAAGGACATAAGTCATAAAGGGGCCACAGCCAGCATGGCTGGCTCGGGAATTCTGGGAGTTGAAGTCCAGAAAACATAAAGGGGCCAAAGTTCCCCACCTCTGCACTAAGCTGTAAGTATAAATCAGTGGTTCTCAACCTTTTTAATGCTGCGACCCCAACCGGTCGTAAGTCGAGGACTAAACCAGTCGTAAGTCGAGGACTAAACCAGTCGTAAGTCGAGGACTAACAAGTCATAAATCAAGGACTAAACCAGTCGTAAGTCGAGGACTACCCAACCGGTCGTACATCGAGGACTAAACCGGTCGTAAGTTGAGGACTAAACCAGTCGTAAGTCAAGGACTAAACCCATTCTAAGTCGAGGACTACCCAACTGGTTGTAAGTTGAGGACTTTCCCTGCCCGGGAGCGCCGTGCATGCGTGGTGCCGCCCCCTGCGCTGGCCGAGGCATAGCTGGCAAGCGGCAGAGACGGAGCAGGCCGACCACCGGCTGGGCCACCAGCTGGCCCAGCCCAAGGGAGGTAAGGCACCCGCCGGAAAAGGGGGAAAAAATGGCAGACAGCCTTGCTTGGCGACCCCCGTGAAATGATCGATCAACCCCAAATGGGGTTGCGACCCATAGGTTGAGAACCGCTGCTATAAATATTTTTTTTTAGGGCTACTTCTGGCTTTTGTCCAGCCCAGGGAATGCTGGGTCTCCTCTCCTCTCCCGCCCAACGTAGCTCCAGAAGACAAACTTCTCCAGGTTTCACTCCAGCCTCTGGGCGAGAACCCCTGGATGATGGGAGCCCCCCTGCAGTAGATCACCTGCATAGGCTGGTTCCATGCCGGCCTGAATCGTCGGTATCAAGAGCCGGGAGATGGTCCGTTGCTTTCTTGTAACGGAACTCATCTGATCCAAGGTAAAATTGAGCAACTGGAAGGACAGATGGATGGTCAGAGTCCCCTGTCCCACAATGGGACCCTCACCATGCTGCTTCCAGTGGACCCCCCCCTTAAAAAAACCCAGCAACGGTGCCTTCTGGAGACCCAGATGTGGGTCACGGGTGCCACAAAGCCCCCGATGCAAGTTTGGTGGGCAGCCTCACCCGTGCTTGAGTGGCTTCCATCTGCTGAGCACAAATCGCATGCAGGGCTTCAGAGACCGGACCGTGCCAGAGCAGCTTCTTCTTCAGGCCTTTGAAGAAGGACTTCAGCTGGGCCAGGAGGGCCCTGGTGAAGCCCTCGATGGAGCTCACCAGCCTGGAGCTGCAAAAGGGGAGAGAGCGGCTGAGGGCCCCATCAGCCTCTCAGGGAACCAGCGGGCCTCCTTCGGGACCGGCTCCTCCGTCCCTCCTGCGGAAGCAGCGTCCTGGGTCCGAAAGCCCAGAGCGAGCCCCCCCAGGGCAGCCCCACACCCTCCCTTTCCCCCCGGCCGGCCAGCCTGAGGAGCAGCCCCCTGCTGCAGCCCCTCAACAGGGGGGGAGGGGCGGCGCTCTGGGATCCCCGGCTTACAACCACAATGAGCCCAACAATTCTGCTGCTAAGCAAGACAGTTTAGTGAGTTTTGCCTCATTTTACGACTTTTCCTGCCACGGTGATTAAATGAATCACTGCCCTTGTTAAGTGAGTAACACGGTTCTAGTTGGGCCCTGGGCTAAGATTTAACTCATTCTGCCTCTGAGAATTACAAACCTGATTCCCTTTTATTGTTATTTCTCTGCATGAGCACTTTACTCGATGTAATTTCAGACTAATTCAAGGTTTCCTTTCCTTTTGCAATTTCTTGGGAACAGATATGTAACCTTAAAACCACCTCTCTCTCACGGTGACAATGGACCAACATATTAACCTGTGGTCTGGCAAAGTATTAAGCATATTTTTATTTTTAAAAAGGTTTTATATATCACATTTTGTTATTTTTTTTAAAAAAAAACCATTTGATTTCGCTCATCTCTTTTGAGACTGATTTCTGTCACAAAAGAAATAGCTTTAAAAGGCAGGGAGGTTGTATCATCAAAATTGTTTCGGCATTACAGATTGTGTCCTTCCCCCACTGGGCCTGGGGAAGGGAGGGGACACCAGAGGAGGCACTGCCTGGGAGCAGCGATCTTGGGATGTGACCAGGCAGGTACTCCAGGACTGGACACGAGGACCTCTTGATGGCTGGAGAGCGGCCATTTCAGGCCTTCTGTCCAGTTTCTCTGCTCTGACTTGGGCAAGGGGTTCGGCTTCAGGCGAGCGATGGCTGCTGCTGGCGGGGGGGGGCGCAAAACCTACTTAAAGACCTCATTCCAGGCCACGGAGATGACCTGGAGGATGGGGCCGGACAGTTCTCTGTTGAAATCCACAGACTGGTACTTGGGAGAGGTGTAAACGCCACGGTGGTTGCAGATCGCCCGATAGGTCACGTGGGGGTAGCCGCAAACCTGCAGTGGGGAGAGGGGCCCCCATCAGACACACAAACTGCATTCCAACCCCCCCCCCGCTCTAAGCCAAGTCGAGTGGACGCCAGACTTGCTGGAGTGGACTCATGACACCCATGTGTATCCAAGGCTCCAGGTCGAAACAGAAAACCCATAAGCCACTGACACTTGTCCATAATCTCAGAAGGGTAAACGCAGACCCTGACTTCACGCAAGGGCCGGAGAAGCCCACGGTCAGGCCTGGAACCCTTCAGTAAGAAACGCCCTTGACCCCACTGGGTGAAGAAAGGATGTTTCACTAAAGGTCAAGCCGGACAGTCAAGCGAAGCCAGAATGGAAGTTCGGAAGCCAAATCTCCAGGAATAACTTTTCTCTCCTGTTGCTAGTCCAACCTCCCCCCCTCCATGGTCCAACCAATTTTAAAAATTATGTTTTGGAAACAGTCCCAGCTGCATTCTTCTCCCAAAGGATCAGCCTTCCAGATTCTTCTTTCCATCAGCTTCATCCGTTTCGCTTTCCCCCCCTCTCTCCAGTGACCTTTCAACGCTGTTTTAATTATTTTGGTCAGATTTACCAACAGCCCCAGATTCCTAAGACGGATCCCCTCCTCTCAGTTCTATGCAGAATCCTCTCTGGACTATCCCTGAAGGGATCTAACCAGGATCCAGGATCACCGCGTGGGAAACAGCAGCCCTTTTATTCAGAGGAGCCTCTGCCGGCCGCTTCAGGGTCATTTCCTGGGAGGGGGCTGCATCCCTGAAGAAAGAGGGGCCCTGACCCCAGATGGCCTCTGAAGGCAAGGAAGCACTTACCGGCGAGCCCCAGCCTCTGACGATGGCTTCGGAGTGCTGCTTGGCCCTCTCAGCCCCGTTCTGCAGGCTGCCCAGAATGAGGGCCTCAAAGGCCTGGCGCAGGTCTTGGGAGCTGGCCCCGAGGACCCCGTGGAGGAGGGCAGGGAGGTCCTGCAAGGCCTGCTGCAGCGTCTCCTGCACCTGGGCCTGGTGGGCATCAGCCTGCGATGGAGGAAGGGAAGGGAGGGGAAGGGAAGGGAAAGGAAAAGTTTTTAAGAAGAGACTGGTCAGCCACTCTGGTATTCTATTATCTTCCAGCCAAGATTCGGGCAGCTGAGTCTCCCCCAGGCGGGGACCCCTTCAATGCTGTTCCTACCTCTGTTCTCTGGCTGTTGAGATAATTCACCATTTGGCTCAGGACACGAGCCACGTCCCGGATGACCTTCTCCGTCGCCACCATGCTGTGCTTCAGCGCTGTGTCCATCGCAAATTTCTTCAGGGCAGGAATCTCTGGAAGGACGGAAGGAGGGAGGGAGGAGAGTGAGCGAGGGGACGTCGTTCTCCCCAGCTCTTCTGCCAACCTGCCGGGCAGCCCACGCAAAAACACCACATTGTGAGACGGTCCAAACGCCGTAAGAGCCTCCTTGAAAGAGTCTGCTCTGAAGCATCAGCAAGATGCGCAACTGAAGGAGGTTTTATTTGGAAGATTCTGAGGAGCCTGTTGATACATCCCACCTGCTATGGAAACACATCATCCCCAGCAAATTCTATTTTCTGGTTCACAATATAGTGTGAGGTTATATGCAGAAACATCTTCAAGAGCAGGGGTCTGCAACCTTGACAACTTTAAGACTTGTGGACTTCAGCTCCCAGAATTCCTCAGCCAGCCATAATTTTGGGACTCTGGGAGTTGAAGTCCAGCCGTCTTAACCTTAAACTTGACTGGAAGATACTTAAGCAGGATTCCAGTATTTGAGGAGCTCCTACAAAGGAAGAGGAGGTCAATTATTTTTCAAAGCATCAGAAGGCAGGACAAGAAGCATCGGATGGAAACCAATCAAGGAATTCTAGAATTAAGGAGAAACTTCCTGACAGTGAAGACAATTAATCGGTGGAATGGAAGTTGCCCCCAGAAGTTCTGGGTGCTCCATCACTGTAGGCTTTTAAGAAAAGACTGGACAGCCACCTGTCTGAAATGGCATAGGGTCTCCTGCTTGAGCAGAGAGTTAGGCTAGAAGATCTCCCAAGGTCCCTTCCAGCTCTATTATGATTTGATTGATTGAAATGGTAGCAAAACAGATTCACGAGATTGTGTTGTAACAATCCCCCAGTACTAAATGCTTCTAGTCCCTAAATACTTCTGCAAATCATTAGAAAGAGCCACACAAACACATCTCTGGGCAATACCTGTGTCTTTGACGTCATGGAAAACTTGAGGTTGACCATTGCAGAGCAACTTTCCACCAAGTTTGAGATACTCCGTAGAGCTGACCGTGAAGACCTCCAGCTTCCCAGGCTGCCCTCCGGTCGAATCCCCCTCCTCCACCTCTTCTTCGCCATCGTCTTCGCCCTCAGCTCTCCTGGACACCTCCTGCACAAGACCACACGTGGCCCGCTCTTACCCACAGATCCCTCGGCCTTCGAGAGACGAGGCACCTCCCTCCACAAGGCTGCCAAGGGTGGCAGCGGGCACAGCGAACGCTTTTGGTGAACATGCCAGGCGGCCGATCTTCCTGACGTCCGGCCTGGAGCCTTCCTACCTGCAGACCAGCGCTGAAATCCATCAGAATCCGCTGCTTGGAAAATTCATTCCGAGCCTGGACGCAGATCAGGCTGATGGCACGGAGCTTAGCGTCTTTTTCTCTCTGCAAGGAGCAGATCTAGACAAGGGAGGACAGAGGGAGAAGCTGAGGAACCCCCCATCCCATCCCGTGGGAGGAAAACCACGGGGCTTTTAGCTTCATCTCCTGAAGCTGGAGGGGGGGGGGACTCACCTGGAACTCCTTCTCCAAGATGTCATGTCTCTGGAGCCAAACTGAATCTGCGGCCGCGCTTCCCTTTCTCGCTGGCTGCACAGGGAGAGGGTTATTTGCAGTTGGACGCTGAATTCTTGAGTGGGACTCAGAAAGTGCATTTCTTTTGGGGTGGGAAAAGGTTCCTCCTCCCCACACAGCATTCCTGTTGAATGTTAAGAGATTTCCCACCCTCCCCCCTTGAAGTGGGAATGGCTTGAAGTGTCCTTGTGAGAAGGCATCCACAACAAGCAGAAGCGGCCCTGAGGGGCATCAGGAGGAAGAGTCAGCCGAGCAAATCACGGTTTCTACTCCCTGGCCCTTATCTCAGCTGCGTGCCGAGCTCGGAGGAAGGGAGAAGTAGCAAATACCTCTTGCTGCTGCAGTTGCGTGTAAAGGTGCTTCTTCTCTATTTCTGCTTGAGTTTTCTGCTTTTCCAGTTCTTGCAATCCCTCTTCGAGGGGACAAATCTTGTCTTGTAAGCTGAGGTCCCTGCAACATTTGAAGAAAGGAATGTTTCTGAGAGCTGCCTGGCTAAACTGCTGAATTCTGCGTGACCAGCGACAGTCGTGCCGAGGGCCCCTTACAACCCCCCCCTTTCCTTTTAAAGCATCCTGTGCTCAGCCAGCAAGAGAGGCATCGGTTGTAGAACTGTCAGCCATCGCAGGGTAATTACCGGGTAACCCTGAAATGTTTTTTTTTTCCTCGAAAATGTTGCGCTTCTTGTCCAAGAAGCTTCTTCGGTTCTCAAAACTCAGCTTTCAAAATTCAGTTCAGCTTCTTGGATGAGAAGTGAAACGCTTCCAAGGGGAAAACCCCAAAAAAGTCCAACTGCTGTTTGGCAAAGCCCCTTTGGGGACAACCATGACATGGACGACGGAGAATCTCCATGGGCGGCTCAGCCCTTTTCCCGCTTTCAGCCCAGAGGCAGCATTTGCCACAAAGGACGCTGGGGGGGGGGGAGAAAGGCTTCCCTCCCTCCTTCCCTGCTGGGACCCCTGCCCGAGCAGAGGGGGCCCACCTGACAATGTCCGTGATGCTGAAGCTGTCGGTCTTGGTGCAGATGAAGGCCAGGCTCCCGTAGAGGCCGTCCATGAACAGCTGCCGGCGGAAGTTGGCGCTCAGCAGCTCTCTGGCCGTCTTGTCGTCCACGGCTCGCGTGATGCTGGCGGTGACCCACACGGCGTTGCAGTCCTTCAGGTACTGGAGAAAAGCCAAGAAGCCGTTTGGCCAACATGCCCAACCCACATTAACTTCAGGTAGTTCTCAACTTACGACCGTCCTTGCAAAGGGAGGCGGATCTACGTGTCCCAGGATAACCTAGCAAGATCCAATCTGGGTTGGCCACTGGGAGCGGAAGGTTTTCTCTTCTGAGCTTTCTGACTTGTGCTGGAGCTCCCCCACACTGGGAAGGTCTCCCCCTGCTAGATCCTCTCTATGGGACACACTCTCTGCTGGGGAGACGTTCCCCGAGGCGGGTGGGGGCTCCAGCAGGCGTCCCAAAGCTCTCAGAAGACAAGAACCTCTGGTTCCCGCTGACCAATACCCTGATTGGATCTTACAATAGTCCATTTAGTGACCAAAGTTACAATGGCACTGGGAAAAGTGACTTATGGCCGTTTTTCACCTCTTACGACCAATGCAGCATCTCTACGGTCACAAAATTTGGATGCTTGGCAACTGACTCATATTTATGACGGTCGCGATGTCCCGAGGTCACGTGATCATGATCTCCTGGCAAGCAAAGTCAAGGGGGAAGCCAGAGACACCTAACAACTGTGCTACACACTTAACAACTGCAGTGATTAACTTAACAACTGTGGCCAGAAAGGTCATAAAATGGGAGAAAAACTTGCTTAACAACCATCTTGCTTAGTAACGGAAATTTTGGGCTCAACTGTGGTCACAAGTCAAGGATTACCTGTGACACAACTCTTAGGGTTTTCTAAGGCAGAGGTCCCCAACCTCTGAGAGGTTTTTCCGCGGACCGGAGAGTGTGTAGTTTTATGTGCTGCTTGTATCTTGCAGCTGGGGCTCTGCTTGTTTGTGTGGACCAGTTGCTGGCATGCCACAACCTGGTACTGATCTGTGGACTGGGGCTTGGGGACCCCTGCTCTAAGGGGGGAGGAAACCCTCCTGTCCACAGCTCTTCTTAATGCTTAAAAACTCCCGCAGACAGAGCTGAGCCCGGCTGTGCACCCAGAGGTGGCAGGACAACCATCCCAGCAGGGGGAGAGGGGCCTACCTCCCTGGCCACCGTATCCCGGGCCGCGTTGGAGTCTCGGATTCCCGGCAGGTCCACCAGCACCGCGCCCGTTCTCAGAACCTCCGCCTTGGCCACACGGATCCTCACACACTTCACAATGGGCCAAAACTCTCCACCTTTCATCTCACGCAAATTGTCGGTACGGGAATCGATAAATTTCTCAATTTTCATATGGAAGTCTGCAGCCTAGAAAGCCAGCCAGCAAGTGGGAAAATTAAGTTTTAGGTTTCGGATCTTTTTAAAGACATGCACTGCAAAGGTAGTTTAGCTTAACAACTGTTTAAAGACTTTAGTACAAAATCACTCTTTTCTATTTGTGTTCCAGCCAGGACGTGCTTCAGGAAGCACAATGGGGGTCCTCGTGGATTGACTAGGGTGGGACTTCACCCACCATAGGAAGCATCACACTTCTCATCCAGTTTAGTCTCTCTTCGAAGCCCTGGAATCCTTCTGGGCCAAAGCAGCCCCCTTCCACGGAGATCCCACGCCTTCCTGAATGGGCAAGTCCAGTCAACAATGGCATGGAAGAAGAGAGGAAGCCCGTGGCCATTTCAGTAGGGGAGGCCCCATCCTGACCTTCTCACTGACTGTCTGGATGAGATGTTGGGAGAAGTCAGCTGGGAACCTGGGGTGAGGTGTGATCCCCAGGAGCGTCTCCCTCTCTCTCCACCCCAGACCCCAAGGGGGACCAGCAGAGGCGTCCAGAGGCTGTCAGGCCCAGAAAAAGGAAGCACCGTCTCGGGTCGAAGGCTGGCAAGGCCATGTGAAACGGGCAGATGCTCGCCCTGTTGCAACTCTGGGCTTTTGTAGAGCGGGAGGCACCAGCGATGCGTCACTTGCACCCTTGTCGCTTCATGTCTGGAATACTGTAATTCACTCTAGCTGGGGCTGCCCTTGAAGACCTTCCAGAAGCTTCAAAGGATACAGACTGCAACTCCCTTTGGATACTAGGAGGAAACAACTCTTGCATCTCTGCTGTGGGGCTGTGCTGGCCGCCCGTTTATCTGCAGGTACAACTCAGGCTGCCCACTGGGCTCTGCAGGGTGCCTGAACCGGCAGCTGCCCGGTGTCCTGTGTGAGCCGAGAGGGGCCGAGAGGTCCCCCTGCGAGGAAGTCCAGGGAGGGGGATTTGTTCCTTGCAACGTTCAGGAGGTTGACTGACATTTTTTTCATGGGAGTTTTTACAGATTATGGGGAGAAGGAAATGAGGAGCCCTGTGGATATTATGGCATTGAATTCCTGGAAGAATTTTGATCCTGATACCTTTTTAAAGTCGGCTTTTCACGTTTTGGTTCTTTTCCTGAACTCAAAATGACTTAGAATTGGCACTGAATCCACAGAAACAAATACGTAAAAAAGAAAAAGTCAAAAGTTCCACCCCGACCTTGCCTGCTCCCACAGAGCCCATCTTCCTTGCTGGGCCCCCAGGGGAGCAGCTTCACTTACCGTCTCGGCACAAATGCGCTTGACCGTCCCGAGGTGTTGGGTCACTCCCTGCCTGTCCTCCAGCTTCTCCAGCTCGTCCACCCTCCCGTAGACGGCCTTCACCCGGCTGTAGGCCGCCCCGGCTTCCGTCTTGCGATCCGGGCAGCGCTTCTTCAGAATGCCGGCCTTGTCCTTCATGTCCTCCAGGAGGGCTTCCAGCTCCTTGTTCCACTCCTGGGGCGCAGAACAAGAGAGGGAAAGGGGTCCCGGATGGTCTCTCTGCCGCTGGGGAAACTGTGGCTAAGCCCGAGCTGAGCCCAGAGGCCTCCTCTCCGTCCTCCGGGCTTGAGGGCCACGGCCAAGCTGGGTCACCTCGTGGCTGGTCCTGGGGAGGCAGCCTAGCACCTACCTCCCAGGAGAGGAACTCCACGTCGGCTTCATACGGGCTGCCCTCTGCCGCCCTGGAGATCTCCACGACCACCGCGGTGCAGGCTCTCATGGCGGACGTGGGCAGCATGGCCTCCTCGTCCAGCAGGGCGTTGAGCAAGCAGCTCTTGCCGGCCCCCGTGTTCCCCACCACGGCTATGTGGGTCTGGGGCATCTTGGTCGCCTTCTGGAGAACGGCAATCTGGTCCCTTGGAGGAGAGGAGGAAGAGGGGAGAATCAAGCCATGCGCTGGCATCATCCCTCCCTCCCCCTCCTCACCTATCTATCTCAGTATTTCTCCACCTTGACCATTTTAAGACAGGTGCACTTCAACACCCAGACGTGAACACGGCTGGCTGGAAATTCTAGGGCAGGGGTCCCCAACCCCCAGGCCACTACCTGGCAGTGGCCCTTTGGAACCAGGCCACGCACGTGGCAGGCAGGTGCAGCTCCATTTGTGTGAGCAGCAGGCACACGCGTTCCCAACTCCATCTGCACCAGCAGCGTGAGCCCACTGCTGGTGCAAATGGAGTTGCAGGTTCTTGCATGCCTGCTACTCACAAAAAACCATTCCCCCCCCCATACCTGTCTCCTGTTCTCGAGAGTGAACCATAAGGGAGTTGAGCAGCTGTATAAATAATAAAGTAAAATACCTCCATTTCTCCACGTGGGTGTTGTCAACGCCCTCCACTGAACTCAAGGCCTGGAAGATTTCTGCCAGCACCGACTGGCACTCCTGCAGCTGGAAGGCAACGTCTTGCTCGGAGGACGCCCACTCGGTCGGGCTGCGGCTCTCTGCTCTTTCACGGAGGCAGCTGCTCTGGGACCCCCTCCAAGCAGGAGGGTCTCTGAAGAGGGGGGCCCTTTCCCTGAACGCTGGTGGTGCAGGACACGACACAGCGGCGGCCACGCGCAGACACTCTGCGTCCGAAGGCTCGGCCAGCCCAGCCTCCTCCGACTTATAGGGAAACTGAGGCTCTCTGCCTCCAAAATCTGCCGGGTGTGAAGATCCTTCTGGCTGCTCGTCTGCTGAGGTTTTGGGGACATGAGAGGTGGGGTATGAGAGGTGAGGGCAAAGCTGGTTCTTTTCCTCCTCGAACGCCTGAGACCGAAGCTCCATGTCTGCCAAGGGACTCTGTGCCAGGCGGGACCCATCCCGCTGCAGTGGCAGAGCCCTGCAAGGTCCTTGATCCACGTAGACGTCGTCCTTGGCTGGGAAGCCACCAGATGTGACCGGGATCCACGGGGCTTCCTGGGAGGTCTGGTAGGAGGCAGCCTGTTGTGCTCCACACTCAGGCCTGCAACCCTCCTTCTCAAGAGGGGAGCCTGTGTAGACGGCCGTCCCAGCAGAATCGCCAGCCTGGGTGGGGCAGAGAGCAGGGAGGGAGGATTCGTCTCCCTTGCATGGCAGAGGCGCGTCTTCCTGAACAGGTTCTTCCTTCACCAGGAGCCAAGCGGACCCCTCGGCTGGAGTTGGACCCTCACCCCCCTGTGCAGAGGCCACAGGAGTTCTTCCCGATGGAGAAGGAGACTCGTCTCTCCTGTAATCTTGGCCGTCAGATTCTTCATCGGTCAGCTCTGTTTTCAGTGGGAGGTCACAATGGCCCACCCCTGACTGCAGAACTGTTTTGCTGCTGGATTCCCACGGAGACTGGGTGAACGGCTCACTAGTGACGGGGGTGCTTTCCATTTTATCTGTGGGAATATTTTTAAAAATGGGGGGAAAGTTAGGGAGAGTCATGCAAAGCACGTGCCCTGCACTTCCTTGGTTTCTGCCTGGATGACGGAGGACTAGCAAGCGAATGCGAGGTTCTTTCTCCGTGGGAAATCACTCCCTGCCCTCCCTCGCCCCAGGGCCGGAGTTGTGCCCCCACCTCTGAACAAACTAAGCAACCACTACTGGAGCCCCTCCCTCAAAGATCAAGGGTGCAAACTCTCTTTCTATGGGTGTTTAAAAGACCACCCTGTGGGAAAAATGTCTCTCTTCTGGAGAAGATATGCAATTCTTTACTTAAGTATCTCTCCTCTCCCGTTTTTCTGCTTTCAGAAATTCTGCTTCTCCCATCTGCTGCTTTTCAAATACGACCCTTTAAATTAAAGCAGGGGTCTCCAAACACGGTCACTTCAAGACCTGTGGACTTCAACTCCCAGAAATCTGGGAGCTGAAGTCCTCAGCCTTAAGGTGGCCAAGGTTGGACATCCCTGCCTTAAACTATGTGGGGCTCTTGGTGTCCTGAGCCTCCTTTTAAAGCAGGGCCTTCTCATCACAAACCCCGCATCCAACACCCAGCTGAGCAAAAGCTGGCATCAGGTGGGCCAGGAAGCAGCAATGCCCCCTCAAGACAGGGAGGAGAGCCTGCCACGTACACACAGCCAGCACACCCCATTCCTTGCTGCCACTGATGAAGTTGTTTAGCTTGGTAATGAGATATCTGCAAGCAAGATAACAAACTCAAGGAAACCCCCCCCCCAAATCCAGCAGTTCAATCCTGAGCTATGTATCCATTTGAGACCAGGGCAACCTTTAAAGCTTACAAAGGGGGCTCTATAAATTTGATTTAAGGAATAAATGAACTAGATGTGGCGGGTAGCAGCTGCTGTCCCAGAACCTGAAGTGAAGGAGGGCTGGAGAGTGAAAACACCCTTCTGCAATTACCTGGGCCAGGAGACCCTCTGGGGCTGCCTTGATGAGGGAAAACGCCTCCTTCGGTCAGCATCCCGCTCCGATCGCCCTCCAGGGCTTTCCCAGAATCCTCTCGGCAGGCAGAGCCATCCGGTCTGTCTCCTCCATCCGGTTCTCCACCCTGCAGCCACTGGCCGGGAGCCTCCTGCTCAGACGGACTGAGAGGGCGGACAGACTCCGGCCGGATGTCCCCAGGGAGAGCCTGGCTGTCATCAGACACGGCCATGTCCGAGTCTTCATCGTACCCGCCTGCATCAGAGGGAGAGTACCACTCCAGTTCCGAGAGGGTGCCAGAGCTTTCAGAAGGGCCACCCAGCAGTTTGTCTGAACGGCTCCAGTATGGACTGGGAGAAGATTCGTGGCTTTGAGAACTAGGGGGGATGTCCGGAGACGAAAAGGCGTCTCCTTCTTCAAAAGGCACCTCCGTGGATTCTGCATTTGGCGCCTCAGCAGGAGAGCTGCTGCTCGAGTCCTCCAGCGCCGAGCCCGCTTCCAAGGGGAAGGGCTCCTCCTGAAAGTAGTAGGCTTCCTGCACGGTGCCCGCTGAGCCTTTGCCTTCTTCTTTGGTGGAAGAGCCGGACCCAGCTGACCGGACTCCAGGGGACACATGGGCATCTTCAGGGATTTGGGCATCCTCTTTCTCACCATCAGGTGAACTGGGCCCATTGCAGCCCAGGCTCTCCCCAGGGTCTCCTCCACCCCCTTCAGGCTGGCAGCCGATGTCCTTCACAGCCGCCGTTTCTGAAGACAGAGCTTTAAGCTCTTCTGCTTTCCCGTTTTCAGTTGCCGGTTCATTGGAGCCGATGTTGCTTTTAAAGTAACTTCTCACGATCTGAGCAATAGCATCTCCATTTCTCTGCGTAGGGTCAGAGCGCAGAGGGATTTGGTTTCTACACTGATCAAGGAACTTCACTATCATTTTGCCAAATTGCTCATCGCTCCTCTTCAAATCAGGAGGAGGAGGAGGAAGCACAACAGGAAATGAAGCTGGATCACTTGCAGAGCCCGGAACAGAAACAAAATGCTGCCTGCAAAGCTTCTTTTGATGACAGGCATCGCCTTCCAAATCTAACTCCTCATTTTGGTGTCTTTTTCTAGGAGAAGAGCTGTTCAATTCCTCCTCCTCCTGCAAAAGGGCCCTGCAGGGCTCCAAGCACCCTAACCCTCCACTGTACCCTGCAGAGGGATCCGGACCATTCCCCAGCTGGCACACGCTTTCTTGGCACGGCAGCCTGTCGATGTCTTGATGCATCCTTCCTGCGTCCTGAGCGTATTCATCTTCTCCTGAGCAGGAACTGCTGGACATCTCACTTCCTGGAAGCTCTTTAACTGCTTCTCCGGGAGGCGACGCCATTGTTGCCCCGTCTGGCTGCCCAGGAAGCCTGCCAGCCACGGGCCAACTATCTTGGAGCAAGCCCTGACTGGTGTTTTCTATGAAGCCATGATCCTTAGAAAGGATTTTGACAATCCTGGTGTCCTCCTTTGCTGAGTCCGAAGGGGATTCTGCAGGCTGACCAGCCCAGCTGACAGGATCAAGCTCCATTTCATCACCGCCTGGATCCTCCGGTGCTTCCGATGTTCTTCTCCTGCTCTTTGCTGAAAGGGAGGAGGGGTCTCCAGGCTCTGTCCTTGCGGTTGGAGATGCAGCCCTTACAGGAGGACCTTGGTCCTGATGGGAGCAGGTTTGTCCCTCCAGATTCATCTTCAGCATCTCCGTGCCCTTCAGTGGGCCAGCACTGGCCTCTTGAATGGCCAGATCACCTGGTCTTTGGACGGTGGATTCCTCAATTGGTTCCCTCAATGCTCCACTGCTGCCAAGCGCATTAACTATCTGTTCAACTGGATCCAACAATGAGGAGTCCCTTCTTCTAGGAAGATCATACGTCTTAAAAGGACTGAATTGGCCCTTCTCTTCTTTTTCAGCTTCAGACGCAGAAATGTGCAGATGGAGCTCGTCCTGCTCTTCTTCTTTCTCCTCTGGCAACTGCGGGGCCTGGGCAGAGTCATCCCTTGGTTCCCCTGGGAGGTTCACAGCAACAGTCCCAGGCTGTAGAAGGCCAATGCTTGGGAGGGGTAGCACAGTACCGCTTCTTGCCTTACTGCAACGAGAATTTTCAGCAATTTGACCAAACCCACCGCTCTCCTCAGGAACGAGGACTCCTTGCGTATGTTCTTCTGGAACAGGAAGGCTGATCTGTTCAACAGGAGCTTCTGGTTCCTCAGAAGCTCCGTGCTGTATAAGAGGGTCTTCAAGAAAAAGCAACTTTTCCCTAACATCAGCTCCTTGGGATTTCACTTCTAAATAATTTCCCAGATTCTCAGGCTCAACAATATCAGATTTCAGTTCTTGGGGATCAACATCTGTAAGACATTGTTGCTGGTTTATCACACAGGAGAATGTACTACACAGCTCGTTCAACAATCCCACCTGCATGGGACTTTGGTCAAAATCCCTCTTTGTGACAGCTAAAGGAATGTTTGCTACAGGACTTGCTCTTGCCTCCTCCTCCTCCTCCTCCTCTCCCAAATTGGTCTTCACTGGGTCTTCCTCATTCAGACTTGTAGACTGTTCGTCTTCGGTGACGTCCTGAGAGGTCACAAAGTGGTTACAATCAGACCCTGATCTCTCTCCTGCTTCATGTTGGCTTTTCAGAGAAGATAATTGTGTGCCCCCAGGCGAATAGTCACCTAAGTGGGAAATTCTCCCCTCCTCAAGGCCCTCTCCCTCTCTAGAGGAATCGCCCTTTCCACCTACCAAGCCCAAAGAGCAGCACTCAGCAGGATCGGCATTAGGGCTTCTCGTGAGGGAGGCATCAGCACCAGGATGCTGAACTTTCTCCTGCTCTACAAGGCATCTCAGTTCTTTGTCCGGGCCATCTTCAGCCTCTCGGTCTTGGTTGGCTACATCTTTGTTGGTTGCTGCTGCAGTGCCGGTTATGCGTGTCTTCACCCCTGTTTCTTCTTCACCTGGTAGATCCTTAGAGTCAGCCTGGCACCGTCTGTCGCTTCCACTTTCGAAACTGGGCCATTCCACTCCCGACAACCCAACCATTGAAACATCGACAATTCCCAGGGAAGAATCATTGCTTTCACTCAACTTTTCTATATCCTCCTGTAGCCTGGAACCAGCAGTAATGTTATTTGAGTTGTTGCTGGGTTCAGCACCTTTTTGATTCTCGTGTTCCAATTTTTCCTCCGTTGTGGAACTCCCTTCCACTTGATGTTCAAAGGGAATCTTGCTGCTCTGGAATGGGCATTGGTCAAAAACGAGTTCCCCTAAATTCCCTGGTGGTTTAGAAACTGAAGTTCCTGAAGCCTCCGCAAGAGCTGTGTTTTCCCTCAAAACAGGACATGCTTGCGACAAAACTGTTCCGAGAACCCTTCCTTCTTCACAAGTCTCCGGCAGGTCTTCAGAATGGAGGTGTCTGTCTATTTTTTCAGAAGCTTCACTCCAGCTCTTCTTTTCTTCTTTGAAGAACCTGCCTGAGAATTGTTCGTCCAGGACCAGGGTCTCGGATAATTTCTGAAGAAGCATCTCCTTGACCACACGTGCCTTTGAGTCAGGGCCATTGGCACTTGGCCTCTGGGCTGGGTTCACATCCTTGAAAGACTCTGTTACCGCTACTTCCATCTCACCAGGCTTCACTCCATCGCTCCACAACCCCATTTCTGCACAAATGTCTACCACGCTGGCCTTACTGCAAGAGCCTCCAGCATCCCCTGGAATCTCTGGTTCATGTTCTCTGCCGTGAAGGTGGCCATCTACGCCTTCTAAGCCAGCATCTGTTGGAGGCTCCATTTCCACATCTTCACTAGCTGTAACCCTTTGAAGAGAATTTATTGTGTAGTCCATGTCACCACTCTGGGTCCCACACAATGAATTTCTTGAAGGTAAAAGTACATTTCTTCTCTCAGAATCCAATCTCTCTTGACTTAAGATTTTGGTGGAAGAATCATCCATTGGTTCTTCCCCAGAAGAAAAACAGATCTCTGCTGTTCTCCTGGCTGAGTTATGTTGCTGAACGTGCCCCAATCCAGAAGAAGCCTGAATTTCTGCAGAGAGACTGATGGCTCTGTTTTCCACTGCTTCTTCTTCTGAGAAGGAGGCTTTCAGGAGATGTTTCTCCACGAGATTCTCATTGCACCCATCTATGGAGCCACTCGCTGCCCGAGCACGGCTCCCAGCCAATTCAACCCCTTCCATTTCCTTCACTGGGTTGTCTGGTTCTGAAGCCCAAGATGCTGAAGCAGTTTCCTCCATACTTGGGCAAAGATTCATCTCAGCCAGTTCCTCATCTTGGACAGTTTCACTAGGAGCTGGAGACTCTGGGCTAAAAACAGATGATGCACAACCAGAAGCGCCTCCTGTCTCTGTCGGAAAGACGGGTGTGAATGTTTCCTCCCAGGGTCCAGAGGCTTCGACTGGTTTGGGGGAACCATCATGATCAGCTGCTACAGAAACCTCTGAACAGGTGGGGCCGGGAAAGAGCAGAGGCACGCAAGCCCTCTCAGGATCACTTCTGGCATCCTTGTGCTGAAACAGCTGTTGCGCATTGGGTGTGTCATACTCTACAGCACTCTCACTACAGCTGCTACTGCTGAGAGAAACGGACTCGCTGGATTCTGAATTTTCCTGAAGAGGAGAAAACTCGGGGGCCGCAAAAGAGTTATCTTTGGGAAGTGTGTAGTCTGGTGAAGCAGAACGGCGAACTTGGGAGGCTGGTCCACAAGGAGAGCTTAATGGAAGAGCAGACGAGGAAGGAAACCCAGTTTGGTCTGACGTTTCTGGCCCTCCCAAAGTGGAGTCCTGAGAAGATGTAGAGAGTGGAGCCGTCATCGGGGAAGATGCGGAAAGAACTGGGGTTGGTGGTGGGGCCAAAGCAGTGTGGTGGTCACGCTGGGTGACAGAGTTCAACAGAGGGGCCTGGCCTGGCAGGACCCCTGGTAGTGCCATCTGAGGACGAGGAATGTGGTGCACAAATGCCAAATTCGGGTTGCCTGGATGTGAAACTCCCGCAGAAACCATGTCAGGACGCTGCAGGAAGAAAGAAAATGGAGAGATCAGCAACAAAACCACTTTGCATCTTTCAGATCTTTGCAAAGAGGCCTCAGCGTCTCCCACCTAGGAGACCCCAAATTTGTCATGATCTCCTTTGCCTGCTGCCCCAAATGAGCACCTTTGATGTGTTGCAACTGCAGCTCTCAGGATCCAGAGAACCTTTGTAGGCTCAGCCACACCAGGTGGCTATTTAGGAAAGGGTTCCACCTGTCCAGCTTCCTACATGGGTGGGATTGTGTTAATAGACGTTAATGCCTATTCACATCTGAGAAGTGTTGGAGATGGAGGCCTACCTATAGCAGGGATAAGCAACCTCGGCTCTTTTATGACTCGTGGACTTCAACTCCCAGAATTCCTGAGCCAGCCATGCTGGGAGTTGAAGTCCACGAGTCATAAAAGAGCCAAGGTTGCCTACCCCTGACCTATAGATTATGACTCTATTCAAATTCTACTTCAAGTGTGGAAAAAAATCTGTAAAAAAAAAAACAAAATGACACAGTTGAAAGGGACTGTGGAGGGCATCTAGTCCAACTCCCTGCTTGAGCAGGAAACCCTCTACCATTTCAAACAAATGGTTGTCTAATCTCTTCTTAAAAACCTCCAGTGACAAGAGCACCCACACCTTATGGAGGCAAGCTGTTCCACTGTTTAATTGTTCTTAATTCTAGGCTGGTTCTCTCCTTAATTAGTTTCCATCCATTGATTTTTGTCCTGTCTTCTGGTGCTTTGGAAAATAAATTGACCCCCCTCCTCTTCTTTGTGGCAGCCCCTCAAATACTGGAATACTGTTATCATGTTTCCACTAGTCCTTCTTTTCATTAAACTAGACATACCCAATTCCTGCAACTGTTCTTCACATGCTTTAGCCTCCAGCCCTCAATCATTTTTGCTGTGAAGGCAAACAATTTCTGTAGACAATCTCTCTGTGCCTGCCCAGTTTTTTTCTTCCCTTTGCCTTACAAAGCAGAAAGACTGCAGAGGAAAGGATTACAAGAGAATAAGCAGGCATACACACAATGGGGAATCCATCAGGCTTTGCATGCCCGGGACTGCTGGTGCCATTGTATTCTTTTTATGTGTTTTCCCCCATTGTATGCCTATTTATTCTCTTGTAATCCCTTCCTCTCTATTGAATGAAAATAAAAACATTAATTCCTTTCTTGCTAATTATCCCAGTTCCTGAGTGAGCGTTCCAAAAGGCATTGGAGTAGGAAAAGGGGAAGTACAGTTGCGGTCATATGATTTCCTACCTAGCAACCATTTTGCTTAACAACAAAGAGCTGCTAGTCCCAACTGTGGTCACTAAATGAGGACTACCTATATTAGATTTATAACCACTGACTCCTGAAGACCTTAGGCAGGACTGGAACTTGCCATTTCCCACTTTCAAGCCTGGCATCTCAACTACAAGATGAAACTAGCTCTCTCCTGTAAAGACAACTTTATTTGTTGTAGTTACAGGAGATCGTTGTAGTTTATTCAACAATTGTTAAGAGAAAATAATGGTTTAACACAATTCGTGGACTCAGCTGTTAACTGAAAACACACGTTTGTATTTCTCACTTTTAACAGTTGGGAGAAATTTCTTCTCTCTCCATAAACACTTTGCATCTGATCAGGACAGCAATTGCAATGCTCGAACTGAAAAAAGAAGAAAAAGGGTTACTAATGTTTTTTCCTCGAAGAATCAAATGATATAAATTCTTAGAAAAAAAAAAGAATAAAGAATAGCTGTGAATAAAAATGAAAAAAGTACAAGAAGCAGCTTCCAATCTTCTTTGCAGGCAGCAATTAGCAACTGCCCAGTTTGGGTCATTAAAAGTCTGCAAAAAAACCCACCAAGCTCAGAGAGCAATAAAAAATCCACAGCTCTCAACCTTGAACTGCTACAGAGCACCAATCACCAATAAAAGTTCTTGTTGTCTTTTTCCTAATCAAACATTTCACAAAAAGAAAAATCTGGAATAAAGGCTTACTGCTTTTGTGTCCTGCTGTTCTGAAGGCTTCTTTCAGCTTTGAAATAACGATAATCCAGATGTGATTTAAGAAAGTGAAGTTTTAAGCAAACTCAGTGTTCTTAAAGCCTCCCCTATGTCTGTGAGCTTGATGACTTTTCCAGTCGCCTGAAGTCACGAGAAGCAGCCCTCCAGAGCACAAGTGGGCAATCTCCTGGATTCCCCTTATTCAGGAGACTCCAGTGGCCTGGGCTGGTTGCTCAGCCATCATCGGTACCCCTCGCTCTAGCCCTACCCTATTCCTGCAGCTGCTCTTCACATGTTTTAATCTCCAGGACTTTAATCACCTTCGTTGCTCTTCTCTGCGCTTTTGTCTCAACATCTAGATTGACCTGGATTAGCCACGGTCCTTGCCTAACGACCAGCGGGTTTTGGTTTACAACGGCATGTGGGATTGCTGTCACTAAGCAATGCAGTCATGTGACATGACGCTTTACATCAGCATTGCTTGGTGATGAAAATCACAAATCCTATCACAACTGAAGGACTGCCTGCATAGCTAGTGGCATCCTGACCTTGTAGGAAGGAACCAAAAGTCGCCCAGACCGGTTCATCCAAAACACTGCAAGGTCAGGCTGTAATTTATGCTGCGCTTGCCTTGCTGCCTTGACACCCCTCATTTAGTGTTAGGAGCTGTTTGCAAATAAGATGGTTAATCATCACAATAAATCATTTTCTGACCAACATGTGCATTTATACAATGTGCAGGGAAAGTCTTACCAGAAAGTAAAAGGGAGAATTTGGTTGCCGTGTGTGGCTTCCCAGGAGCAGGTTTTTCCCAGCAGGATGGCCAAAAGTGACCGTATCTCCTTCTCGCAAAATTACTCTACCTGCACACAAAATGATCCATTAAAAGAGTTTTTAAAATATGTTTAAAGTTCAGAGATTTTGTCCCAAAGCTTCCCTTGTTACAGGCTCATATAGCTGCCGGATTTGGGAATATAACCGCCATTGATAGTTGACAGTCAACCAGGGCAGGCCCCATAGCCATAGTCCCTCGTGCCTCTTGTAAGGCCGCTGCTCGCACATACCTTCAATGCGGATGTCGTTGACATACACGCCCGTCAGGCTGGAGTCCACCAGGATGTATGCGCCATCCGTCCGGATTATCCGCGCATGGATACGAGAGATGTACTTGAGATCCGTGGGGGTGGCAGCCGGAGAGTTGAGACAGTAGTCCACCACCTGCTGGTTTCGGCCGAAGAGGGTGACAGCCTTGTCAAAGCTTTGGGAGAAATAAGTAAGTACAGTCTTTGTAAGCTTATTGCGTGGTCCAGTGTGGTTTCCAGAGGCAAATTTCCCACGGGCTTTCTGATTGCCTTTTAGATCAGGGTTCTCCAAACTTGGCAACTTTAAGACTTGTGGACTTCAACTCCCAGAATTCCCCAGCCAGCGGATGCTGGCTAGGGAATTCTGGGAGTTGAAGTCCACAAGTCTTAAAGTTGCCAAGTTTGGAGAACCCTGCTGTAGATAGCTTCACTGAGGACAGATGCTGGGATAGTCTAATGCAGTGGTTCTCAACCTGTGGGTCGGGACCCCATTTGGGGTCGAACGGCCATTTCACGGAGGTCGCCAAACAACGCAGTCCGCCATTTTTTCCCCCTTTTCCTTAGCTGTGCTACTCCCTTTTATTCTCTTGGCTTTTGAAAGCCAATAGAACAGACTCTCTTGAATAGAGTCTAATTCTATTGGCTTTCCAAAGCCAATCGGAATTGTCCAGGCTGTCTCTGCCCTGCTGAGCCCGCCAAGAGTCCCATTCTGCAAACGGTGCTGCACCAGTTGAGTAGTCCTCGGCTTACGACCAGTTGAGTAGTCCTCGACTTACGACCGGTTGGGGGGTCGCGGCATTAAAAAGGTTGAGAACCACTGGTCTAATGAAACATCCCCACCACAATATTAACAACAAAAACAGCTAGGCAAATCCTCTAGCTCCTATAAGTCCTATTTTTAACCATCTATCCTGGGGGAAATGGCTGAGAGTAAATAACCAGCTGGAAAGGAACTCCTCTGGCTGGCTAGCGGACGAGGAGCAGACCGGGCGATGGAGCTTCTCCAGCTTTTTCCTCAAAAGCTGGGAAGAGGGTCCTTGCCCCAAAGCTCCCGAGTCAAGGCAGCTGCCCCCGGGGCCAAGGGCAGAAGCAGCCGGGCAGGGGGCCAGGGGAAGTACGGAGGTGAGAAAGGGATGGAGAGAGCGCGAGAGGTTGGGATAAAGGAGGCTGACTTCCTTCCCCTTTGCCTTCCGTTTTCTGTCAATTGAAGAAGGGAGCAGCATGATGGGTACAAGCATACCTGGGTATTCTATTTAAAACAGGCAGAAATGTGAATTTAAAGAGGAACAGGTGTGGAAAATTAAACTAACAATCCGACCTTTACGTACAGGTAGTCCTCAATTTACGAGCCTACAATTTCTGTTGATAAGTGAAACATTTGCTAAGTGAGTCCTGCCTCGTTTTACGACCTGTTAAGTGAACCACCGCAGTTGTTAAATTAGTCAAACCGTTGTTAAGTGAATCCGGTTTCCCCCACTGACTATGTCAGAAGGGGATCACGTGACCCCCCCCCAGGAGACTCTGCAATCGTCATAAATATGAGTCAGTTGCCAAACGCCTGAATTTTGATCGCGTGACCGTGGGGAGGCTGCAATGGTCATAAGTGTGAAAACCAGACATGTCACTTTTTTCAATGCCACTGTAACTTTGAACGGTCACTAAATGAACTGTTGTAAGCCGAGGACCACCTGTATCCCAAGCAAGGCTGCCTGCAGAGAGGGGGACAATGAAGTCCCTAGGGTGGCCATCATTAGGTGACCAAAGGCCCCCCACTGCATGTCTAAGAGGGGGAGGGCTTTGGTGACACAATGGCTGGCAACCACACACATTGTGGCCCCCCTCCTTGGAGAGACCCCCGACCAAGAGGGGAGGGGAGGGGGATGCTACTTACTGGACAATCTCAGAGCTGCCGGGGGTGGGAGCCCAGGGGCCTATGCTGCGCAGGTGGCTCAGTTGGGATCCCTCGCCACTCAGCAGGCAGGGGAGCGCCATCTCAGGAGATTCCCCCTTCTTTCCACTCTGGCCACGGCCGGGCAGACCCGTGCTGTCAACGAAAAGCAGAAGAGAGCCGCTTGGACACCCAGAGCAGCAATTCCTGCCTGCGGTGCGGGACGAAGCTCCTCTTCCTTGTTGTGTGGATGCAGTCCTGGAACGAAGGGAGCCCCGTCCTGCCCACACCGCCTCCCTCGGGCACCGGCTGGCTTCTTGCAAGGATCTCCCCACCTGCCCTTCCTGGCACAGTGGCAGGGTCTGAGGGCGCGAGCTGGCCTGGCTCCCCAGAGGTCCTACTTTTAAAAAATATGGAGACGGCCACCTCAGATCAGGGGCCAGCTTGCCTTTCCCAGGGAGGCTGTTCCAGGCCTTGGAAAAGTAGAGCCTCCTTGCCTGCCCCCACCCGCCCCAACCTGTAGGACCCATAGCAGTTTCCCCCTGTAGATCTAACTCCTCGGGCTTCCACAAACTACAGGAGGAACCCTGCAGGTACAGGCCAACCCAGGTTTGGTCTGTTCAGCAGCATGTAATGAAAGAAGCTGTCATTTGATTCATCCACAACCCCCGTCTGCTCTCCCGAGATCGAATCAGTCTTATTCCTTAGCTGCTTATTATACATATGTTGTGTATGTATGTATAACATACATATACACATGTTGTATATAGTATGTTTAGGTGTGTGTCGTGTGTGTTTCACTTTGAGAGCGGGCAACTAAATTTCTTCCTATTTACCCTAAAACAACCACCCTGTGAGGTGGGCTGGGCTGAGAGAGACTGGCCCAAAGTCACCCAGCTGGCCTTTTACCAGCTGGGATGTCCAGAAATTATGGAATATCCACAGAGGTAAGGTAAGTAAAGGACGAATAGGTAAAAATTCTGACCAAGCTATGGGTGAACTGACAGGCAACGAGAAAGTTGAAGGGACCTTGGAGGTCTTCTAGTCCAACCCCCTGCTCTGTCTATTGCCATGGACAGAAAAATCTGTCCATGGCAAAGACCTGGTGCTAATTGATTCCACTGCCAGATCTTAAGTGACCAGGACAAAAACCTGATCCTGCAACTGATACACTTGGGATAGTTGATGAACTGGGGCAGATGTGCGGTTGCCCCACCTGCTCCAGGGTCTGCATCCCATTTCCATGGAGAAAATTTTAGAATTTTCTATGAGATTTGTCTTCTCCTTCGTGTAAGCCTCTACCTATTTGTAAACGTTGTGGAACTGAAATATCTTTGAATTCTATGTAGTACTAACTAATAAATATCAATGAGATGATTGCTTTTTTAAAAAAAATGGACATTGGTTATTAATTAAAAATCTGTAAATCATGAGTCTAGTCTTGTTGAAACATAAATTTCCAATAAATCTATGTAACTCTTAATGCTCTCATTCTATATTTTGAGTTCTTAAATTCAGTATTAATAACGCCAAACATTAAGTTGCCAATCTGATCTTTAGAAACTTGTATTGACCTTATTATTTTATCCTGGCTTTGTCAGTTTGTTAACACTGCATTTGTGAAAAGTGCTACATTTCAAGAACCATTTTGCAATACAAAGCTGCCTTGATCCACGCTTGATGTTGAATGGAGCACAACTGTGCAATACCCTTTGGGGCAGGGGTAGGCAACCTTGGCTCTTTTATGACTCGTGGATTTCAGTTCCCAGAAGTTGGCTCAGGAATTCTGGGAGTTGGTCCACTAGTCATAAAAGAGCCAAGGTTGCCTACCCCCGCTCTGGGGAAACCGAGGCATGTGATTACTAGCCAGCAGCGGGCGAGGCGCAATGAAGCATCTCCCCCCCCCCCCCGGGTTAGAGCAGTGTTTGCCAAACTTGACAATTTTAAGGCATGTGGACTTCAACTCCCAGAATTCCACAGCCAGCATTGCTGGCTGTGGAATTCTGGGAGTTGAAGTCCACATGCCTTAAAATTGTCAAGTTTGGCAAACACTGGGGTAACGGATGGGCCCCTCGCAGGCGGCGGCTCCGCTCCGGCGCCCTCGTGGCCTCCTGTCCCCGACCGATAAGGCTGGCAGCCGAGCGGACAGAGCTTTCCGGCCCCTTTATCTGCGCCAGCCCGGCCCCTCCTGCAGCCCGCATCAGCGGCTGGCCGGCCGGCCGGCGCAACCGCCCCGATCGCCTCGTCCGCGCAAGACTGGAAGGCGCCGCGAGGCTCCAAAAAGGAGAGAGAAGCCGGGCGCCGACGAGTGAAATTAACCGGAGCCGGAGATTCTCCGCTCAGGCAGCCCCGAGGGAAGAAGGGCCGGGCTCTCCTGCCAACCGCCCCGGGGCTCTGCGGGGGATCCGGGGGTGACGCACTCCAGCCCCAACCGCGGATTCCAACTCCCCGCAAGAGGGGGAGAAGCTGCCCCGGCCCCGCGGGGCCCCCGCCCAGACCTGCGAGGTGGAAGGGGCGTCGGAGCCCCCCGGGAAGCTGCCTGCCTCTCCCGCGCCGCGCCCTCCGTCTCCTTTCGCGCCAAAGCCGAGGCCCCGCCTATTCGGCGGAGGGAAAGCGAAAGCGAAAGCCGGGCCGTCCTCTGCGCCTGCGCGCGCCGCCCCCTCCTCATGCCTCGCAAAGGCTACAATCGCGGCTCGGGGCGCCAGCCGAGAGTCGTGCGCGCCTCTATTCGCAGCGCCCCCACCAGGAGTAAGGCGGGGTAGTAAACGGGGAGGCTCCCCTACGCCCGAGGAAGGTCCCGGTGGCCTCAGCCTCTCCCGGAGGCTTCAGGGGCTTCGTGGCCTCTGCCCGGACGCCGCCGCCGCCGCAAGCGAAGCAGGTTGCACCGAGGGCAAGTTCCCCTTTTGCGGACTCCCGTTGCTTAGAAAGACCCGCTGGGAGGCTCGGTCCGCCCCCCTGCTTCTAGGAGACGAGAACCCCCATTGAGATGCTAACAGGCTGGACGACCCCCGTCCTCGGAACCCATTTCTCCAGCCTTTCCTTCCGGAGCTGGGGGGGGGGGTCTTGTGCAGCGCAGCAGCCGCCTCGCTTGCCCACTGGAGAGGCTGCGGAAGGACCGGCCCTGGTGCCAGGCACTCCGGACCTGCCTTTGCCGGCGCTTCCCCTGGGCCCCTCTCCTGCCCAGCGCCCCCCCTCTGCGGGTGACCCACCCAACAGCTGACAGAAGTTTCCCTTGCAAAAAGTACAGTTGGCATCTTTTCCTCTTTATTGGTGCTCTTCCCTCTCCAGTCTGGAAATCTTATCAGATGTCGTAAATCAGGTAATCGGTTTAAATAAATAAAATAAAACGCCTTCGGAGAGCCTCTTGATTGTCGCTACCAGCTTGCTTCCATCTGCCAGGCTGGTGCCGGCTGGCTCTTCAGCAAGGGCCCCCCCCTCCGCTTCCTGCCCTGGAAGCCCCTCGGCTCCGCCCGGGGCCTCTGCCAGCCAGCCCTGCCTTCAGGGGTAGCTGTCGGCGTAGGAAAACTTTGGGAGGAAGTACTTGTGCACCAGCTGCTGCATGGCAGCGAACGTCCTTGGCGCTGCCGGCCTCCTCGGGAGGGATGGGAACGGCTGCAAGGTGATCCTGGGGAGCGGAAGCTTCAGGAAGGGGACGAAGCCCTTCATCAGATAGCGGGGGAAGACGATGGGGAAGCAGCAGCCTGCGTGGGAGGAGGGAGACAGCAGGGAAGGAAGGAGCATCACTCTCTCGGGCTGGAGACAGGCTCCTCTCCGGGGCCAGCGTGGTGATGAACCAGAGGCAACAGCGAAGAAGTGAAGAAGTCAAAATGGCTGACCAACCAAAGCCAGCTCTACGGGCAGATCAGCATTTACGGGGTGGCTTTCGACCAGTAGAGGAGAACTCTCTGGCTTCCCTCGGCTTTCTGCTGAAGGAGATACGGGCTCCCCTCCCTGACCAGCTGCCCAGTTCACAGGGCAGCTGGTGGGAAAATCAGAGGGAGCCACCGGCTGCTTTTCCTGCACTGGGGCATTAGATGGCACAGGCTGCATCACCAGAATGCAGCAGCAGCAGCAGCGCCAGGCTTGACCAGGAGGCACGCGGGAAGGTGCCCCTCGCTGTGCAGCCCTCTCACACGCCAGAGGGAAGAAAGGCGGAACCCCAATAGATCGATGGAGCAACCCCAGTACTCACGCTCAGCAACTCTCGTTCTCAGCATTGCGTTGGTTTCTCCTAGACGCAGGATCGCTCGGGACCTGTCCCGGAAGAGCAGGAGCTCGTACCAGCCCAGCGTAGAGTCCAGCAACCGAGGAGGTTGGAGGAGGCCGTGGGCTCTCCCATTCCCTCCTCCCCCCCCCCAGAGGCTGGCCGGATGCCACCAGGGGTCTGCCACCAGCGGAGAGGGGCAAACCGAAGTTCAGCAAAAGGGGCTGCAGCCTTACGGAGAGTGGCCTGTGTGCCCCCCCCACCCATTAATCAGCAGACCCATCTGCTCTGGGACTTTTCTTCCATCCTCCCGACTTGGCTTTTATTTCATCCACGAGCGGGACAGACTCAAGCCGTCCTTCGCAGTGTTTGGGTGGCGCTTTCCCTCTTATCCCAGAACCATCCCAGGACAGCCTCGGGGTGGGTTGGCTTCCTCCTCCATTTCCTACGGGGAAATCTGCCGAGTCAAGCAGGCAGCCAACTTCGCGCCAGTAGAGCGTTCGGTGTTTCCCAGATCAAGAGCACAAGGCGGCAGCGGCACAGAAGCACGGATGGATCGCAGCTCATATGGCCAGCAGAGCAACTGGGGGGACGGGGGGGGCTCCAGTTCTCCTAAGCCAGTGCCTCAAAACTCCTGCCATCCTGGAAGCCCTGCAGAGGCAGAGCTCCCCCCCCCCCAGCGGCAGGAGCTCCTGGCTTGCCTAGACCCTCAAGCGGGCACCTGGGGCACAGCTTGCTCAAATCATATAAAGTCAGAGCTTACTTTTGAAGAGGGGGCAATGCCAAGACCGTGTCCCGGGGGGATTCTGCCCTCAAAAGGACAGCCTCCTTCAGCTCCCTCCGTTCTCTCTCCAGCTGCTTTTCCGCAAAATGCTGGATGGCATCAATGGGGCGAACGGGCTGAAGAAGGAACGAGAGGAATATGGCCGCTCCAGGTCAGCAGGGCCCAAACGGAGCCAGCTGCACTTGGAGCGTTGCTTAGTTTGGGCCTGGGATAACAAAGGCCAATGAGGCAGAAACAGGAAGCACAAAAACCGTGTGAGCCGCTGCATTCTGAACCTAGCAGAACTTCAAATTACTCTTCAAGGGCAGCCCAATGTAGGGTGCATTACAGTAGTCCAGATGAGAAGTAACCCAAGGTGTGGGTGACTTGGTGTGACCGTGCAGGAAGAATATGGAGGGCATTGTTTTATGACAGGGGTCTTCAAACTCTGCCCTTTGATGACTCATGGACTTCAACTCCCAGAATTCCTCAGCCAGGCGGAGTTGAAGTCCATGAGTCATAAAAGGGCAGAGTTTGAAGGCCCCTGTTTTATGGTTATCAGGAGTCCTTGGGGCTCTCTGAACTTGGTTGTTTTCTTGCAGACGTTTCATGACCCAACTAGGTAACATTATCAGCATTGATGATGTTGCCCAGTTGGATAATGAAAGGTCTACAAGAAAACTAAACTCTAGAAAGCACCAAGAACTTCAACCCTGCACTAGAAATATTCTCCTATATTGGTTGATGGTTATTGCACAGCAAATACAGGCGTAGTATGTTTTTTGCCCCTCAAAATGGGGAGGGGGGAACTCTGCTATCGACGTTCAGGAGTCGTGATCCTCAAGGCTCTTGCTTTGCAAAGAGTTTCAAGGGAGCCTCCATCTGCTCCCACAGGGATGTACCCAGGAAGGGTTCAGAGCAGCCCCCTCTTCCCCCTCACAGCATAGACCACCCACCATATTCCAGCCCAAGGCCCCTGCCATGCTGGGCTGTGCACCATGGGTGGGCTTTCTGTCAGGAAGAGAGGGTTCTAATGGGCACCTGAAGCGACAGGAGTATCTTGAGGGTCAGAGCACAGGGAAGAAGAAGAGGTAGACTCACCTTTTGGTGGTCTTCCAAGCTGGGCTTCCCCTGCCGCTCCTCCTCGCTGTCCATCTCGTCCTGAGTAGGAAGACAAGATAGTAAGAGCCCATCTTTTCCGTTTTTCATCCCCTTCCGACAGCCAATTGGAGATGCCAGGTGGAATAAAGGAAGCCCCCTTGGGTGAGACAGGGCCATCACCCTGGACAGCTTGGAAAGCAACAGACTGTTAGGTGGTCCAGAGCACCGTTGGGTTAGGCCAGTCATGGCAAACCTATGGCACGCATGCCAGAGGCGGCACACAGAGCCCTCTCTGTGGGCACGTGCCATCGCCCCAGCATACGTGGTCTCTAAAAGTTCGCCATCACTGGTCTAAGGCCAGCCAGCCTGGAGCCGCCATTGGAGAGTCCACAATCCCACCCACCAGAGACCCCCTGGTTCTCCCCCAACCCTGCCCGGCTCCCACAGTTGTCCCTCCCCATAAGCAACATCAAGGTGGCCACGCCCACCCTGGCCATTCCCACCCAATCTGCCATGACTACTTCAGCCACACCCATCCAGTGGCCACGCTCACCCAGTCTGCCAAGCCCACTATAACTGCACTCGCCTACTGGATTGGGGTTGCAGTTTGGGCACTCGGTCTCTAAAAGGTTTGCCATCACTGGGTTAGGCATAATCACGGAGAAAATCTAGAACAGGGGTCTTCAAACTTGGCCCTTTGATGACTTGTGGACTTCAACTCCCAGAATTCGTCAGCCAGGCACGCGTGCCTGGCTGACGAATTCTGGGAGTTGAAGTCCACAAGTCATCAAAGGGCCAAGTTTGAAGACCCCTATTCTAGAAGTCAAAAACAGCTTCGGGGCACATAATCAAATGACAAACTGCACATACAGAAAGTCAATGGCCATTCCAAGTTATTGACAGCACTGAATGAATGGTGATTATGTCAGAGCTCTGGCCATCCCAGCCCTCCCCGGTCACAAGATCATAATCTAGATGGTTGGCAGCCTGTTTGTACTTACAACCAGTTGCCGAGCACCTCACAATCCCTTGATCGACGTTTGCAACCTTCCCTGCTGGCTTCCTCAGTAAGTCAATGGGGAAGCCAGCAGGGAAGGTCAGCAGTTGCTGTTACCTCCTCCACCCATGCACCACCCCAGCCCCTGGCACTTGCTCCACACCAACCAGTTGTGCACCCTCCCTCTTGTGCAACATGTGGTACCTCTTACGCATCCTCCTTCACTTGCACAGCACCTGTCATGCACCCTCCCGATCAGGGCAGCACCTCTCATGTGCCCCCAATCCACAGAGCGCCTCACATGCACCCCATCAAGAGGGTGAACAAGAGGTGCCACAGCTCACAGAGTACACTAAGCCTCTGGTGCACTCTCCCTGAGTCTGGCACCTCTTGTTCACCCCCTCTTTTGCACCATCTTCGACCCTCCACAATCCACGTGGCACCTCTTGTGCAACCTTGCGCACTCTCCCCAGCCCTCAGAATGCCTCACGCACCCCCTTGCAACGTCCTCAATCTTTGCACCTTCTCTGATCCTTGTGTACCCCTCCCCTCCTGTGCTCCCCCACACTTCCCCTCGCTCCGTCCCCCACCTGGCAGCAGCCACTTATTTGCCTGTTGGGCTGAGACCCTCAACTTCCTGCTGGCTTCCCCACTGACTTTGTTGGATGCGAAAGAGGAAGTGAAGGTTGGTCCTGCAAGAGCAGGTGTGGGAGGCCGGGTGGTGGTCCTCACAGCAGGCCATCCACTGTGCAGCCGATCAGAGGTTATCCAGGACCCCACATCTCCTCCCATGCTTTCTGCCCCAGCCTCAAGGGAAGGCCAAGCCTTACCTTGTGGACAGCCTTGGCCCCCTTTCCAGCGATCTTCCTGGCTTTCTTGCGGCTCTTCTCTGGCCTCTTTCTTTCCAGGGTCAAAAGAGTGGTGGTCTGCAAGTTCAGAAGCCCCCAACTCAGATGCTTCTATATAAGTGATACGGTCTCTATGTGTGGCGGTGCCCTTGGGCTGTTTCCACAAGAGACCCAGGGAGACGGTCTCTTCCTTGGGGACTTTTGCGTTGCCCGAGGCTGGCTAATAAGGGGGAGACCCAGAGAGGCCCCCTTGACCAGATAGGGGAGCCCAGCTGCACCCAGTGGGCAGGGCTGGCGGTCCGAGCTAAAGCCCACCTTGTGGCCGGTGTCCAGGAAAAGCTTCCCAGAGGCAGCCTCTTCCAACAGGCGAGCCCTGTGTTCCTGGGGAAAGGAAAGCCATGCCTAAGCCACGTGGCCCCCTTTTTCAGCACAGGGACCCCCACTCAGAACTGGCAAAGCCTGAAGACCCTCTTGTCAGCTATGAGCTCAGGTCCTCCTCTCTGACCACCCTGAGCCAAAGCCCCTGCCCCCCCTCACGAGGCTCCCAGCCACGGCCCATTCCCTGCAGACTGCCCTCCCCTTTGGGGGAGTCCGCTGGGGAATCTTGAGGCTGGGCTGGGTGGCCCCGTCCCCTGGGAGGTCAGCTGACCCACAGGGCAGAATCCCGAGGCCCCATCCTAAGAGGGAAGGGGGCCCCGATGGCCAACGCGGCCAATTCCCTTCTCCCTGGTTCTGACATCTGGAGCGAGGAGTCCTCGGTTGGGCTGGGCTCCGAATCGGGGTCCCCCAGCATGCTGGAGTGGCAGGGCCCAAACCCTGCGGCAGCCATGCTTCCCCCCCCCCGGCCATGGGGCAGTCGTGGCTGCACCACGCAGGCATCTCTGGGCTCCCTGGTGTTCTGAAGCCGGATGAGCAGAGGGCTTCCCAGTGGCAAAGGTTTAGGCTGGGGGGGGGGCATCTGAAGAAGGGCGAAGGGCAGCACCTTGAAAATCCGGATCTTCTCCTCCAACCATTCCCTGCTGAGTTTCCGCACAACCTCTTTGGAGTCCTCCATACCCACCATCCAGGAGTTCATCTCCTTGAAGAAAAAGTTGTGAGGGTCCTGAAGTCCCAACTCCTTGAACATATCCTTAAAAACTGCCCTGAGAGGAGGAGGAGGAGAGCATTTCTTAGCTAGTGTTTAATAGCAACACGGCACACACAAAACACACACTTCTTGGGTTGCCCCAACCTCCTGCCACAAAGAAAATAACGTTGCTGTCCACAGGAGACGGGGGCACTGCCCACTGCACAACGTTGCTGCAGGACCCACAGCAGAAGAGGGACTTCCGGAGCAGCCCTAGATGGCTGCCAGGAGCTGTCCCCCCCCAGAGGTTCTGGCCAAGATGGATCTCCTCAGGGATGCAGAGACGCCAGGCAGCCATGGGGCAGCAGCTAAGGTGGTCTACCAGCACAAGGGCGCTCTCCCCATCTGCCTTCTCTGCGCTTCGGAGGGGCTTGGCCACAACCCCTCCTGAATCCGAGGCTCCACGCGCCATGCAGTCGGGAAGCAGAGGGCCTCGTAGCTGGCTCCGCGGCTTCTTTCTCACCAGCAGGGAATCGCTACCCACCTGCAGCCTGAGCTGGTGGAAGGTCCTCTTCCCTCCTGAGAAGATCCAGGCCGGACACCCCTGCAGTGCCCAGCCCAACCCCTGGGAGCTTCCACCCACTGCTGTGCCCGGGAGACAGCTCCTCCTCGGCCAAGGAAGGGCACCTGCCCCAGGTGGGAACCTGCAAGGGTCCTTCTCCCACGGGGCCCTCACCGGGCGGAGGGAGCAGCCATCAGGTAGCAGGTCATCAGCTCCACCATCAAGTCCAGGCTATCTTTGTCCAAGTGCAGGAGGACGCGCAGGGTGGCCAGGATGAACTTCTTCTGGCTCTTTTCCTAGAAAGGGGAGGGGGCGCCTTAGCCAGCAGCCCTCGTGGAGGGAGGGGTCAGGGCAGGCCCACCTTTACCTCTTTTCCCACGCTGCTGGGGTGGGTGGCTGTCTTGGGGACCCCTACTGTGCCAAGATGTGTCACATCCCAGAGGGAGCCCAACTGGAGTATCCCTCCCACCAGCCCCCCCCCACCTCACCCTGTCTATCCCTCTAGCAACCGGTGGCAGAGCAGCGTCACCTGCAAAGAGGGGGCGTTGCCCTCCTGATTCAGCACTTCAAACAGGGTGTACTGGATCCACCTCTTCGCCCTGTCCTCCAGCTGGTCTTCCAAGTAGACGATGGCTCCCAACACCTCCGTCTTGGTGCTGTAGTCGGCAGTGAGCAGCGTCTCCTGCAGCTTCCTCAGCAAGACCTTCGAGGTCATCTCAGGGGGGATACCCTGTGGAGAGGGGAGCCCCTCAGGAGGGGGAGGGGGAGGCAGGGGTGTCCTCCTTCTGGACTGACCCAGCTTCTCCTTCTCTAGCCCAGGGCCGGAAGGCACCAGAGATGCTGCAGGCAAATGCCAGTTTTGGAAAAAAAAATGGGGTTCAAAAGTTTTATTATTTTTGACAGCTAAGTAATAAATGGACTTACTATACCTTGAGGTAAGATGGGCGGTCTATATATTTCATAAATAAATAAACAAACAAAACAAACACATTAAAAATAACTTTTAGTTTACTTAACTGGTATGGTACTCGCTTAATACCTCCTCAAACCGTATCCGATCAACAGCATCCCAAATTTACCATACATGATATACAGTAATTATGGTGTTGCTAAACTTGGGCAATGCTTATTTATTTCACCTATTTACATAGCCCCCATTATACAGATGTGACTCTGGGCGACGTACGAAGACAAACACAAACGTGTAAATAATTCAAGACTGCAGGAGAACCACAGTCCCTGGACCTCATGCAGCCCCCTTGTGGGATCCCCGTGGCTGATGAAAAACCCACATTTTCAGGGTCTTCCGGAAGGCGAACGGAGATGAGGCTAAGCTCACCCTGGGGTATGTGTGTGTAAGAGTGTGGTGGTGTGATGTTCCAGAGGATGGGGACCATTGCAAAAAAAAAAAAAAAGCCACTGCCTGGGTCCCACCAGATGGAGCCCCCTTGGAGTCGTCCTTGTAATCAGAAAAAGGTGGGTCCCTTCAGGTAACTTGGCTCCATGCCAAAATGTTAATGAAACACGGGCAAACAGGCGCCCCACATTCATAAGGGAAAAAATCGGGCTTCCTACCACAGGTAACCCACCCCCTGAACCCTAAGCCAGCCCTTTGGCTTCTCAGGTCTCTTTCAACCCTCCAATTCACACGATCCGAATCCACGCCGCGCACTGGGATCAACCTGGGCTGCCTGGTTTCCAGTTCAATGTATCAAGCCAACATCGCCACTGTTTGTGCACGGGTTGATCTCTGCATTGGGGCACTGAGTGGTCATCGGTGATTTATTTTTCAGTATCTGGGATGGGGCTGGTTGAGTTTCCAACAGGTGCAATTTTTCTATCAAAAAAAAGGCAAAAGTTTCCCTTGCCAGTGGGGTCTGGCTGGGGGGGGGGCTTATCTCCACGTCATAGCTGAGAGGGTCAGCATTGTCCAAAGAGGCTTCCGTGGTCATGTGCCAACATGGCTGCACTCCAAAGCCACAGGGAATGCTGTTACTTTCCCACCAAAGTGGTACCTATTTATCTACTCACATTTAACTGCTAGGTGGGCAGGATCTGGAGCCATCATGCCCCCTTTTCTATCAACATGGTTCACTAACCCAAGGCTAGCCCATCCCCAAGGAAGACCGTGTGTGTGTGTGTGTGTGTGTGTGTGTGTGTGTGTGTGTGTGAGAGAGAGAGAGAGAGAGAGAGAGAGAGAGAGAGAACTGGAAGGTAAAAGATGTGGGGGCAAGGCTCCATTGGTGACCTGGGGTCTGTAGGGCCCCCCTCACCTCTGGGAAAAGATTCTGAAACCACTCTTGGTCCACAAAGGGTAGAACAAATACAGGCACCGTCCTCGGCAGTTCTGGATACTGGGACTCATCCAGCTGAGTCAGGAAAATCCCAGGCGTGCTCTGAAATGAGGGAGGGGAGGGGGGGTCCAACACTCATAATGGCACAGGGGCAGCAAACATATTCCCTGTGTGCAACACAGGCAGCCATCTTGGGACACCAGCCAGGGGACCTCAGCGGTTGGGAGAGGCACCTGTTTTGTGGAGGGGGCGTCTTCCTTCGCTGGCATGATCCAGGACTTGGAGATGCCCTCCAGGGCCGCTGGCAGCTGTTCTTCCTTGGGCAGTTCCTCCTCATCAAACGTCCACATTAAACTGGCCTTTGAGGAGCTCCCCGACACCTGCCCCACAGAGGAAGGGAGGGGGTCCCTCACAGTCTCTCCTGGGAACAGAGCCCAGGGCCAGAGCACCCCTTACTGGTGCCCAAGGCTGAGCCACCTCTCTGTGCCCACAGGCTGGAGGCAGACAAGGAATTGGCAGAGCAACCACACTATGCCAGCCATACCAGGTACACCAGACCAGGACATCACAGGAAAGCTAAAATTACTTTGTTGAAATTGGTTAGGGGTAGGCAACCTTGGCTCTTTTATGACTTGTGGACTTCAACTCCCAGAATTCCTGAGCCAGCATGGCTCAGTTTGGAAACCTCTCCCCCTCAGCAGGGCTGGCTCAGGAATTCTGGGAGTTGAAGTCCATGAGTCATAAAAGAGCCAAAGTTGCCTACCTCTGGCCTAGGCCTAGGCCCCTTCATGACTCGTGGAATTCAACTCCCAGAATTCCTGAGCCAGCACGGCTCAGCTTGGAAACCTCTCCCTTTCCCCTCAGCATGGCTGGCTCAGGAATTCTGGAATTGAAGTCCACGAGTCATGAAAGAGCCAAGGTGGCCTACACCTGATCTAGGCCTAGGCCCCTTCATGACTCGTGGACTTCAACTCCCAGAATTCCTGAGCCAGCATGGCTCAGTTTGGAAACCTCTCCCTTCCCCTCAGCATGGCTGGCTCAGGAATTCTGGGAGTTGAAGTCCATGAGTCATAAAAGAGCCAAAGTTGCCTACCTCTGGCCTAGGCCTAGGCCGCTTTATGACTCGTGGACTTCAACTCCCAGAATTCCTGAGCCAGCACGGCTCAGCTTGGAAACCTCTCCCTTTCCCCTCAGCATGGCTGGCTCAGGAATTCTGGGAGTTGAAGTCCACGAGTCATAAAAGAGCCAAGGTTGCCCATCCCTGGGCTAGAGTAACTGAACCTGGTGGGTCAGACGGTGCTGCATCGCCTCCCCCTCTTGTACCCCAGTGAATCGGAGCGGCTTCCTCGTAGAATTTTGCTTCCCGGGCCTTAAAAATATTCAGCCTTTTGCCCAGCTCAGGGGTATCCGATTCTTGGCAACTTTGTGACTTGTGGACTTCATGCTGGCTGGGGAATTCTGGGAGTTGAAGTCCACAAGTCTTAGAGTTGCCAAGGGCTGGATACCCCTGACCTAGTATTGATTTTGCTCATTTCCATCAAGCCTTTCTCTCCATGCACTTTGAAGGATGCCGAAGAAGTTGCTCCCTCGCGTGACACTCCACCCACGGCCTATCCCGGCTCCGGAGGGTCCTCAGAGCCCTTGCAGCCAGACGGGGCAGAGAAGCAAGCCACCTCCCAGCCAGACGGCCTCCCTACCCAGACGCCCGAGGCCGGCTGGCATTCCCAGATGCTCCGTTTCTCTGCTCCTTGAAAGGGCTGAGAAGATGGGATGAATCTCCAAGTGGGGGCACCCAACTATGCAAATTCTGCAGTGGGAACTGCCGTCGGGGGTCTGTGGTGCCAGGGCAGACCCCAGGCCAGTCTCCAGCGCTGCCCAGTGGCCAGCTCAGCTGTGGGTCTTCTGATGTTCAGGATTATAGTTCAGGCCATCCGACATCCTGCACGCTTCTCAAATCGGCCCCCCTCGCATGAACAGGGTTCTGCACCCCAACATCTTTTGTGGCCTTTCATCATTTTGTTCCCCCCCCTCCATTCCTTGCATGTGGGGGATGCATTGCCCAAACCAGGTGATTTTTCAAACGGGGGGGCTGTGTACCTGGTCAGAATCCTCCCAGGGAAGGTTGGGAGCCCAGCCTCCATGGTCTGACAATAGCCAACCGGCTGCCTTGGGGGAGGGGGGGAGATTCAGGCATGCCCCCCCAATTTCTAAAGAAGAGCTACTTGGCGCCACTTGTCATTGCATGCCATGCCCAAAGGGGTCCCAGCCTCCCCCGAAGGCGCTTACCACCTGGGGGCCGATCACCTTCACGAGCCTCTCTGTCTCCAGAAGGTCCAGGGTGTGAAGCTGCTGGGCCACCACAGAATTGGGGATGAAGCCGGAGGATATCCTGGGCAGCTGAAGACTCTCGCTCGTGAGCCCCTGGAGGCCAAGAAGAAGGAGACTCGGGCAGCCCTCCCAAGCCTTCCAGGCGCCGAGGCCGGGCATCCGGTTTGGCCCTCGCCACCTGGGCATCGCCAAGGAGAACAAGGCCCCCTCCTTCTGCCCATGTGAGAGGATAATGTTCTCAAGGGGTTTATGCTGACCAGCTTGATGCTCACTCAAAAGACCCGCTGGGGGGGCTGCACAGGCAGGAAAACGCCCCCCACCAAAGAAAGCACCCCCATCAAGAGTCAGGGCATCTTCTTGCACCCCCATCCATTCCCATAAAGCAGAGGCAGCACCCCAGGAACCCGGAACCCTACGGCTGCTGCAAATGGGGGGGGGGCGCAAGGCAAGACCCGCCCTGACTCGGAGGCCTGACTTGAGCCTTTCCGACAGAGGGGCGCCCGGCTTTGTTCTGCTGCAGAGCGAGTGGGGCAGGGGCCGTAGGGCGCCCCCGAGTGCAGCTGGCAAGGTGAGCCCCAAAAGAGAAGCCACGAAGGGGTCCAAGTCATCCAGAGGACTTCTTGGCCCCAGGGCCATCAATGGGGACAGCGTGGAGCTGGGGGAGCACGCGCGGATACCCTGCTGAGGAGACACATGTGGGCGGTAGGCAACGCAGCCTTCCTTCTCCTGGGTGCCCCCCGGCTCAGCCTATTGCCAGGTCAGGGGAAGGAACAGCCGCTCACCGCAAGCGTCCTTGACCTCTGCGGGCTGGGGGCCCTCTGCGGAAAGAAGCCTTTGACGATGGCAGACGGTTGGGGGCTCATCGAACGGGAGGTGGAGGGCAGGTGCTTCTGGCTCTCCTGGCTCAGCTGCGATGACACCAGTCCCCTGAAGAGGACGCTCTGGGTGCAAGACGTCACAAGAGGCCGGGTGAGTTCTCTTCCACCCCCCCCCTTCTTGCTGCAAAGGCCACCCAGGACTCCGACCCCCACCAGGAAGGCCGAGCTGGGCCCTGCTTTGAAAGGCTCCTGGAGGCAGAGAGGGGAGGAGGTGAAATCACATGGGGGGGGGAAGGTGCCACGGAGCACTGACCACTGAGTCTGTGGCCATCTCAAGGATCCGTCCACAGAGGTTCCCTTTAGAGGCCTGCAATGGGCCGGCCCCACCCATCTGGGGCTCCAGCAAGGAAGCGTTTGCTGGGTCAAAATGTCCTGAATTTGAAATGACTTCATGCTGCTGAGCCAGGGGGAGGGCAGGTCTTTCCCCACCCACGCTGCCCCAGAGCCCTCCTCTCTCCCACCTCTGGCGCTCAAAACACCCCATGGAGCCCCAACACCCGCAGGGCCAACCACAATCCCAGCGGGCACAGCTGGGCAGGGGTGGATGTGGCTGCAGCGGCCCCTTACCTTTTCACTCTTGAGGCGCGTGGAGGGGCTGGGGGACGAAGGGCTTTCTGGGGTAACCAAGACCAGAGTTTCGAACGGTTTAACTGGGCGCTCCGCAGGCTGAGGGGAAGCAGGCATCTTAGCGGGCTCTGGGCACGATCCCACATAACCGCCATCCTGACTTTTCCCTTTTGCCCCGTCTGCAGGATGGCCAGACCCGCTTCGAGCCTCCCACGCTGACCTCCCCCGCCCTGTGGCCCCTCCTCAATCTTCCTGGGGCAGGAGCAGACCTCTAAGCCGCCTGTCTGCTACCCAGAAAGAGGGGGGGGCTTGAGGCCCCTTTGGCTGCTGCTCTTCAGGATCCTTAGCCCAGAAGATGGGGGGCACAGCAGGCTTGGGAGTGGGCAGGTGCTGGGACCGTTTTGCAGCAAAGGCCAGAGGAAAAGCGAGGGGAAGGGTCCAGCACTCAAAGAGGAACAGCAGCTCCATCAGTTGAGCAGCCTCCCCCAGGCCTGCCCCCCCCCCGCCCAGACCCTCACCTTGGGCGCCTCCTCCGGGGCTCTTCTCAGGGGGTAGCCTGGCCTGCCCGCTCTTGCAGAAAGGGGCCGGATGCTCTCGGGGGCCTCCTGCGTGAGGGGGGCTGGGGGAGCTTCAGTTCTCCCCGGGGAGGGGGTCTCCTGCATCCCGGCAGAGGAGGGGGCAGCGCCAACATCTACCTGTGAGAAGCCAGGAGAGACTTTCAGGGCACAGCCTCGGCGGCATGGGCGTCAGGGGCTCCAACGACCCCAGGGCAGCCCCCCCCAACGAGCCCAGGGCAGCCCCACCCCCCCCCGCTTGCCAAAAGCCATTTCCCAGTTTGCTGATGGGAAATGTAATAAAATTTGAGGCTGGAAAAATAATCATATTAGCTGGGCCACTTTTTAATTAAAAATGTCACAAAGATAGAAGATCATAAATTCATCACCCCTCTTTTTTGGGCAAGAGGTCCCCAGCATACCCCTCCAAAGCTGCCCCCTCCCACAAATCTGGCACTCAGCCAAGCAGACCCTCCTCACCTTCTTCCTCTTCACCTGGAGCATGCCAGGAACCGCAAGGGAGGGGGTGAAGCGGATGGAGGGGCTAATCTCCTGCAGGGGGGGGAGGGGAGGAAGAAAGGTCCCTCTGAAAGCATGCTCAGCAGGGAAGGGCGGGGGGGGGGGCAGGCACAGCAAGCACCCTGCCTGGGGGCTGCTCCTGTCCTCTGCCGTGGGGTGAAGAGTGACGCAGAGGGGGTGCAGGTAGGGGACGCTGCCCAGGGGACTCCCAGGCTGGGCTGGGGTGGGGGGAAGGGATTGCAGCCTGGGGGGCCCCCCAAGAGGGGAAAAGAGGAGACCCAATAAGGGTCCAGACTGGCTGCTCCTCACCCCAAGGAGCCATTCGGGGCGCAGCCCCAGAGAGCAAAAGGCCCCTTACCGCAAAGGCTGAGCTGCTCAATTCGAGGGTCCTGGGCTTAGTGAAGCCCCCCAGGAACATGTGGGAAACGGAGGGTTCTAGGAGGGCAGAGAGGGGATCCATCCGGCCCAGGGATTCCAGCACTTCATCTGCGTCAAAGGGATCTTCTTCAGGAATCTGTGGGGAGAAGGGGTGGGGCTGCGCTAGGATCCAACCCAGGGAATAGCATGGCAGCCGGGGGGGGCAGGGGGGAAGGTGGCTGGGGGGTCTATGGCGGCCAAAACCCAGATCGGGGGGAGGGGCATCTCAGACATTTAATCAAAGGCAGAAACGTCAGCATACTTGAACCCAGGAAAGCCCCCCCCCATTTGACAGGGAAAACAGCTGCTCATTATTAATATTGCCAGGCCTGGTCCTTATTCAAGGGGGGGGGGTGCTGGCGATGATGCCAGGTCAGGATGCCCAGCTGGGTCTGCAGGGGCAGAGGTAGCCCACCAGATCTGCCAAGTGCCGCCCTTGCCCTGGTGAGCAACTGCCCAGCCGCTTGCAGAGAACAGACCCTCCCCCCCGAGGAGCCTGGTGCAGCGGAGGAAACGTCAGAAGCAGCCGGGGGGCACCAGGGCAGGGGCTCCCTAGGCACAGAGCTGGCCTGGGGGGCCGGTCCCTTGGTGCCCAGGGAAGCCCACTGGCAGAAGGGGGCTGGCATCAGAGAGGAAGGGCTAAGGAGAGGCTCTCGGATCAGCCTCCAGGAGGGGCCGGGGGCTCGGGCCCAGAGCCCACCATGTGCTCCCCCCTCCCCAGAAGCCCCGCCGGCCACAGCGCCACCTCCAGGCTGAGCTGCTCCTTGTAGAACAGGCCCAGGTAGTGTTCAAAGGCCTCCTCCCGCATCTGTTTGGTGAAAGGCCGTTTCTTGGCTGGGCTGATCTTCCCTTCCTGCAGCAGCTGCAGGTCCCGATTCCTCTCCGCCAGCTGGGCCATGCCCTGCAAAGGACACCCGGCTCAGGCCTCCAAGAGCGGCAAAGCCCCCAGGCGGAGTCCCCCCCCCCCGCGGCTGGGGCTGGGCTGCGCTCCCTCTGCCATCGGGCTGGCTCCAGCCACACCTGGCCTTGGCTCAGCGCTGACTGACCTCCAGCTTGAGCTTGGCTTCCCTGACCTCCCTGGACTCCCTCAGGGGCACCCGGAAGACGCCGGACATGCTGGACCTGCAGGAACAGGAACAGGAGCGTCTCTTCTCCTGGCGGCCCCCAGCCCGCTTCCCCCTCCCTCCTTCGCTGGGGCTGCAGCCGCTCTGCCACAAGAGATACTTCCTCACAGAAGCCACAGAGCGGGGACCCCCCCCCAAAAAGCTGGGAGGACCCCAGCTAGCAGCTCCAGCAAGGTCTAAACCCCCAGAAGGCAATCCGGTTGCTCTCTCTTCCAGGGGAGCCACAGCAGTGTCCCCGTCGCTTCCTTTCTGCGTGGGGGGGGTCCACGCCCCTTTCGATGCCCACCTTTTCCCTCACGCATCTCAGCTCTTCAGGACTTCCCACCTAGAAACTGGGGGCCCCCGAGGCCTGAAAACCAACTGGGTGGCTCTATGCCAGCCCCCCTCTCCCGGCTCTGCAAAGAAGGAAGCCAGGGCAGCCCGTCTCTGGAAAGGCTGCCAGGAAAACAGCAGGGCTTGAACAAGAGTGGAGTGACTTGAAGGTGTGTGCACACACAGACGCTTGTGTGCATGTACAAAAAAAAAAGCACAGACACATCAGGCTTTGGAACCTAAAGGCGCCCCACGGCGGAGGAGCACCCAGGAGCGACGGGGACAGAGTCTGTGATGGAGGAGGGCCTCTGATCTGATGCTCAGGGATCTGGCAAGCGTGCCCGGGGATTGCTGCCCCCCGAGCCCCCCTCCCAGCCCAGCCCCCAGAGCTTACTCGGACTTCTTCGCAGGCAGCTCTTGCCTCAAGCGACGGCTGTTCTCTTGCACCAGGGCCTCAAAGCTGGACGGGCTGATGGGCAGCGAGATGTCCTTGAGGGGCTCCAGGAACTTTGCCCACAGCAGCTGCAAGAGGAGGAGGAGATCCAGAGAGGCAGGACCACAACACCTGTCCTTCAGGTGCCCAGAGGGGACCGGTCCCCACATCCAGGCAACGGTGCAAGTCCGTTTGGACAGGGGCCCCTGGGGGTGCCGTCTGGGCCCACCTGCATCTGGTAGTAGCTGGGCAGGTACTCGGTGTGGGGGATGAGGTACAGGTGCTGCTCCAGGCCCACCAGCAAGTCCCCCTTGTGGTTGGCGAAGGCCAGGCTCTCTGGGATGGTGTTCAGCTTCAGGTGCCTGCAGGTAAGGGGACTCTGCAGGTAAGGCGAGCAGGGCTGGGGCCCCAAATGGGAGACAGAGTGGGAAAGCACACAGAACCTGCGAGACACCCCCCCCCGCTGTAAGGGAACCACAAGAAAGCACAGAGACAGACTTAAGCCTCTTTAACGGTCTAATACTCGTCACTATGGCAGGCAGGCTGGATGGAACTAGGCCAAGCAGAGGCAGCATTTGGAGAGCAGCCCCCCAATGGCTCCTCACAGCCAAGCTGGATGACCCACCAAGAATGGGGCACCCTGCATGGAGCCATGGGGGGGGGGAAGGCAAGCAGGTCCAGGAGAAGAGCTTAGCACTGACCAGTCCTCAGGGAGGGAGACTTGGGCACAGCCACTCCCCTTTGCTGCTGCAGGGTTAGGGGATCAGGCTGCGCCCACCCGCTGCCCTCTGGGGATCAGGCCTTCCACTCCCTCCTCCCATGGGGCCCTCACCGGAGCAGCCTGTTCTTGTGGTCCCAGATCTTCACTGACCCGTCCCGGCTGGATGAGGCAAAGAGCTTCAGGTTTGGGCAGCAGCAGAGACCTTAGAAGAGGACGTCGGACACAGTGAGGGGTGGGGGGGTGGAGGGAGCTGAGACCTACCCAGTCCTTGTGGAACAACTGCTGCATCCCCTGCTCCCCCCCACCAGGGCCCCTACTGTGTACCTGTGATGTCATCCTGGGCATCTTCCTCGGGTCCATGCTCAGAGCGTGTCTGCTCCATCAGGTTGTAGTGGACAATGCTGTAAGTGACCGTTTCGGGGTCCTGGAAGGCCACCGCCAGGGTGTCTCCGAGGAAGCACATGTGCCACGCAGGAGAGGCGCAGGAGAAGGACAGGAGGGGGAGCAGGCACTCCTCCACGTGGGGGAAGAGGCGCCACATCTTCACCGTGAGGTCCATACCTGTTCCAGGCAAGGGAGACCGCTTGGTCACCCGGCCTCTGCTGACCACTTGAGACTCACTGAAACTACGCCCGAAGAATTCCGCTCACGGGTGGGTGCCAAGGGTGGCAGAATTAGGCGCCTTCTTCCTATCGATGGGAACTTATCCATTTGGTGCCCTCTGGCCTCACCTTACGGGCCACAGGAAAGTGAAATTTGTGCCGTTGGCAGGAGGTTTGTTAAAATTGGGGGAACGGGCAGGAAACGTTTAGCTTCGTAGGAAGACGGTGGGCGGGCTGTGGGTGGCTGAAAGCAGCACCCGTTTCTCAAGCGAAGCACCTGAAACGCAGGAGCCTCCGACTCCATCCATTCTGTTGTGAAGAGGTGGGGGCTGGGGAGGGAAGTGCACTGCAGTAGGAAAGAGATGATGAAAGCGATGGGGGGGGGGCAAGAACGAATGGACAACATATGAAGGTGGGTGGAGTACACAGGTGGACACCAGAGGAGCAGACTGAGAGGGTCCAGATTGTGACCCAAAGGCCACGTGTGAAGGGCGGAAGCCAGGAGAGTTTGCTGGGATTCAAAGGGAGGGGGAAGAAGAACCAACTCTTTTCATGTTCAGAAGGCTTAGATTAGCTAATACACACACACACACACACACACACACACACACCTGTCCTCTCTGCTTCCCATTGCTGACTCTTCCTCTGCTCCAAAACGTGATGGAGTCGCAAGTCTTTCTATGGCTTTTCTTTCATGAGAAATGGAATCGCTTTATCGTGCGATGCCCGTTCCTCCTTCCCAAAACCCAGAGGGTTTAACTGGGATTTTTAAAGAGAAGAAGCGCCAAAGAACCCCCACGTCTTATTGTAACACACCTGAGAAAAATAGCAGCTCTGGCACGCTTCAAGGAATTGTGCAGGGAGAGCAAAGGCTCTCCCATCCTGTTCCCCAGTGTGGGAATAACGGAAGAACAGAGACGGAAGGGATCCTGGAGGCCTTCTAGTCCAACCCCCTGCTCCGGCAAGAAACCCTATAACATTTCAGGCAAGTGGCTATCCAGTCTCTTCTTGAAAACACCCAGTGATGGAGCAACCAGGAAGGAAGGAGGGACCAGTCTCAACTGGACAGGGGATTCCGCTGCCCAAAAGCAGGAGAGGGGCTCTTTGGAGGGGGGGCGGCGGCTCTGCCATCAGTTCCTGGATGCCCTGAAGGACACCTGCTTCTCTCACTCAGCAAAGCCTTTTCACCGGGCCAGTCCCCCCTAGAGGCAGCTAATCCCCGTTCTCGCCAGAGGAAGGCAGCCGCACCCTGGTGGAAAAGCTGGCTTCCTGTGGGGGCTGCCGAAGAGCCTAAGGGGCAGCTCAGCACAGGGCTGTGGGCAGCGCTTCTGTAGGGAACTCCGTGGGGATGCTGCTGGCACCTAACTGTGGGCAGCCAGTGAGAAGCGGCAGCTTTGGTTGCAGGTACCTGGCGCCCTCAATGGGGTTGCTGGCAGACCTGGAGATCAGCTGCCCCTCCTGGCTTGTTTTCCCAAAATCGCCAAAGATGGAACGACTTCGGAGGGGTTTATGTAATTCTGTCTTCCAGTCTACCGAGTGAGGCTGACACCGGTCTCCCTCTAGGTCAGTGTTTCCCAAACTTGACAATTTTAAGGCATGAGGACTTCAACTCCCAGAATTCCACAGCCAGCGTTGCTGGCTGTGGAATTCTGGGAGTTGAAGTCCTCATGCCTTAAAATTGTCAAGTTTGGGAAACACTGCTCTAGGTCATTTCTGGAGAGGCCTGGGACTCCCTGAAGCTCCCTCCCTCCCCCTTGGGGCTCTGAGACTTACCTGCTGACAGGACACACATCTGTGTGGTGTACTCAGCCAACGCCGTGACACGCTCAGGGTTATGCGCCTCCACTGTGTACTGGGCTCGGCCCAAGAACCAATCTATGACACTGAGGGAGCCGTTTTTGTGCCCCAGAATTGGAAGGAATCTGGCACGGAGAGACACACCGAGAGGACAAAGGAGTCTCCGGTTCAGAACAGTGGCAGAAGAAGTTTTGCCCAACCCTTTCGTCCTCTCCGGGCCTCCCAGCCTGGCCCCCCAGGGTGTGTTTCCCCAGCCAAGAGTTCCAGTGCAGGTGCTGTTCCCTGCAATTCAAGGCCTGTCCGGAGAAGCCAGGACACGTCCTCCCAGGCGATGGCTTGAGAAACCCCCATGCGGACCCCACAGGACACAACGACCAGGCTGGGCAGTAGCTGCGGACTGGAACGAAGGGAGCGAGGGCCAGTGCTTCCCAGGCTGCCTACCTGTTTCTGTCCTGCATGTTGATGGTGGATTTCTGCCACTTCCTCCGGTAGCCTTGGTTCTGGGTCACTTCCAGCCACGTGGCATATGCCTTGTCTGGTTCCACCATGTGGCTGTAGAGGAGGACGCAGCAGGGCCTGGATTCCCAGAGGCTGCTGCTGAAGCACTGCTTCACCCTCATGGGACTGGTGGCTGCGTTGACGCGCAGCACGTGGCCCTGTTGCAGCAGCACGAAAAGGGTCTCCCGGGGCAAGCAGTAGGCCACTGCCCGGGCTGGGGAATACTGGTCCAAGGAGAGGACGGACACAGGCGCGCCACTCTGGGCATCCAGCAGCTGCACGGTGGAGTTCTGGCACAGGCAGAGGACGCGGGCAGGGAAGTCGCCCAGCAGCCTCAGGTCAACGCAGCTGAGCTGCCTGGCAGGGGAACCCAGCAACGTGTAGAGTGAGTAGAGCTGATTGATTTTCCAGAGGTTGAGGCTGCAGCCCGAGATGGAGAAGACGTGTGAATTGGTGTGGGTGTCCAAGGACTCCACAGGCTCCGAGACGTGGACCTGGTCTACCTGGTCAATGGTGTTGAGGTTCCAGGTGCGGATGGTCCCGTCTTGGGAGGCAGAGAAGATGAGGGGCCGGTGAGGGTAGATGGTGACGGCAATGACTGGAGCTGGCGGCAGAAAGGGGGCAGCAAGAAGAGGAAAGGTCTTCTCAGAGCTAGAGACCTTTTCCAGAGTTGGAGAACGAGCCATAGGCTCAGAAGTCAAACGAACCCGGCTCCTGCCTTCAGCAGAGGACAGACAAACTCAAGAGATAATAATAATAATAATAATAATAATAATAATAATAATAATAATAATAATAATAATAATAATAATAATAATCCCCCAGTGAGGCACTACCTTGACGTGGTTGTGGGCTTGTGTACTCTGAGGAAGATGAGAGCTATGCCAGAGGTTCAACCATACTGGACAGGTCTCATCAGAGGAGTCAGACAAAGAGTGTCTCTCCCATAAAAAATATGGTGAGACGTAAATTTCAGAATGCCATACCGGCTCGGACGTCGCCCGGGTTAACAAGGTCCGCACTAGATATTGGAGTTCCTGGATATCTGGTGAAAAATGGGTTACAGGACTCAGGACTGTTGGCTGAGCAACCAGGGCCAGCAGCTGCAGAACTACTGGAAGAAAAGGTGTTTACCCGTCGCAGATACACAGTGATGGAAAACAAAGAAATAATGATCTGTTACTACAGATCAAGTCCAACAAGAAGAGGATATCTAAAACGAATGCACCAGTTCTGGAAAGAACAACATCCAGAATCAGAAATAACAGAACAGAGACTAGCAGATCAACGCCGATTTATAACACGAAATAAAATATTCACAGAAACAGAATTGGACGAACTGCAAAGGTTTACCCAGGGCAAAGAAATCAAAGCCTTACCAGAAGTAATTCAGAATGTAGAGGCAAACCAGGGGGAGTTTGCAGTGAAGGAATCTAGCAGAGATATACAACTGTTCTCATTTGGAAACCAGGCACCTCTACCTCAGGAAGAAAAAAACCCTCTAACTAAAGAAATAAAAGAATTGAAACAAAGAATAACTGAGCATCTAGAACAGCACAAAAACAACAGAATAAGGCTACCTGCATTGAAGCTTGTTCCAAAGAAACAGCTAGCCCAAGCATTAAAAGATGCAAATATTGCAATATCAAGTATAAGCACCAATTCATTGCAAGAAACAAACCAACTAATGTACAGCACAGCTGTGCAGTTATAACAGAATACCCCCCTTTGGGGGGGACGCAAAATCAACAAAGAAGAAAAACAAACAAACAGGCACCAGAAAAATGAAGGTAGACTAGAAATAAGATCAGCAAGGTACGATCCAATGCAAGCAAGCAGAACAGATGAAAGAAAAGAAGCGAAGAACAAGAAGGGGGGGGGACCAAAGAATACTAATCAGAATACCACTTTAGAAACAGGAAGATCAAGGAAGCACGGAAATAATAAAGCAGTAAATAACAGCTATAGCCAGGAAAATCAGTAGATAGAAGCTCGAACTGCAAATTATAAGCAGAACCTCCAATGTCAATCCAATCAGAAATGTTTCTACCAATCCATCAATGGAGAAACTGCAAGGAATCAGTCAGTACCTGACAAGGAAGAAACAGTGCAGTTCTGGAAGCAGATATGGGATAACCCAAAGAAATACAACAAGGATGCGGCTTGGTTAAAAGAGGTGGATGCACATAAAACAGAAGTGGAAATGAAAGAACTAGTAATAACAACAAAAATGGTAGAAAAAAGAGCAAAGAAAATCAAAAATTGGTCAGCACCAGGTGAAGATGAACTGCATGGGTTTTGGTTGACACATCTAACTGTTATACACCCACTCATTGCCAAGCAGTTCAACAATATACTACAGGGAGGAGAAATTGAAAAGTGGGCTAAACAACTGGGAAAACCTACCTATAATGAAAAATCCAGCAAAGGGGCAACACCAGGAAATTACAGACAATTACGCTTACCAACAAAACTTTCAAATACTAACTAGGTGTAGTAGCGATGCAGTGCAACAGCATCTAGTTGAAAAACACTATCTTTCCACATGAGCGAAAGGAAAACGCCCCAACAGCAAGTAACAAAAAAGATCAACTTCCTAATAGACAAAATGATCTTGGAAAACTGCAAGAGAAGGAAGACACCTGAATTGGCATGGATTGACTACAAAAAGGCATTTGACTCTCTGCCACATGATTGGATAATAAAGTGCCTAGAAATAACAGGAGTCAGTAGAAACATCAGAAAATTTGTGCAAAGATCGATGGCACAATGGAAGAAACAGTTGCAGATCAATGGTGAGAGACTGGGAGAGGTTAATATCAAGAGAGGAATATTTCAAGGAGATTCATTGTCACCATTACTATTTGTTATTGCACTGTTTCCTCTGTCAACAATACTGAATAACTCATGACATGGCTATCAAACATCAAAAACATCTACCAGACTATCCCATCTCCTTTACATGGATGATCTGAAGCTGTATGGAAAAACATCATCTGAAATAGAATCGCTGCTCAACACTGTCCGTATATATAGCCAAGATATTGTAATGGAGTTTGGCTTGGACAAATGTGCACACTTACTATCAAACAAGGAAAATAAGAAACTGAAAGGAATCAAGATGCCCCACGGAAAATAACATTAGAGGTGGAGAGAAGAGTCACGACAAAATTGGGTAGCCCTTCAAGGCTGACAACATCAAGCACATGAAGTCAGAAAAAGATTAGAGGTGAATACATCAGAGAGTGAGAAGATTAAAATCCAAAACTACAATGGAGGAAATACCATAAGGCAATCAACACATGGCAATCCAGTTATTAGTACACAGCTGGAATAGTGGACCCGGCACTCAAGGCAGAATAAAAGCAAGGATAGGCAGATCAGAAACATAATGACAATGAATCATGCCCTTCATCCACGCAGTGACATTGACAGACTTTATCTACCAAGGCAAATAGGTGGGCGTGGAATGCTCTAAGTACATCAGATGGTTGAAGAAGAAAAAATGGCTTTGGAAGAATATCTGAAGAACAATGATGAAGATGCACTGAAATTAGTATATCAGGAAGGCTTACTAATTACTGGAGAGACCAAACTGGCCTACAAGAAAGACCAAAGAAGAACAGAATAGAGGCATGGGAAGACAAAGCACTACATGGCCAATACATTAAAAAAATAGCTGGGAAAGCAGATAATAATAAAACCTGGCAATGGCTAAGAGCAGGAAAATTGAAGAAAGAGACCGAGGGATTAATTCTGGCTGCACAAGACCAAGCCTTAAGGACAAATGCATACAAAGTCAAAAATGAGAAGACAGCAACAGACAGTAAGTGCCGCCTATGCAAAGAAGCTGAAGAAACAGTGGACCACTTGGTAAGCTGCTGCAAGAAGATTGCACAGACTGACTACAAGCTGCGGCATGACAAAGTAGCAACAATGGTGCATTGGAAGATCTGCAAAAAAGATCATTTGCCTGTAAGCAAAAACTGGTGGGATCAAAAAAGAGAAAATTCATAGACAAATGATTAAATTAAATGCTCGGGACTCAAAATTCAAAAGAAAAGCACCTGCCAACCATAACACAACAGACTTAACAATTGGCGCTAAGAAAGAGCAAAAAAAGTATGGATAGTGGATGTGCCAGTGCCTGAGATAGCAGAAAGAAGAGAAAGAACTGGAGAAGATAACAAAAATACAAAGACTACAAATAGAAATAGAAAGACTGATGGCAAAAGCAAGCAAGCTTTAGTACCAATAGTGATAGGCGCCTGGGGTGCAATCCCAAAACAACTGGAGCACCACTTGAACACCATTGGCATTGACAAATTCGCTATTAGCCAATTGCAAAAGGCGGCCTTACTAGGAACTGCTTCCATCCTGCGACGATATCTGTAATACCATCAAACATCCACATCTGCCTATCCCAGGTCCTGGGTAAGGACTCGATAGGTAGACAAAATGCCAAATCCCGTCTGAACATCTGGCTGACTGTGCGATGATCGATAATAAGAAAATAAAATAACAATATTGGGAAGATCTGCAAAAAAACATTTGCCTGTAAGCAAAAAACTGGTTGGATCATAACATAGAGAAAGCATAGAAAAATGATAATAAAATAAAATGCTCGGGGACGTCCGAATTCAAACAGCAAGCACTGAAACATAACACTCCCGACTTCACAATTTTCGATAAGAAGACAAAACATTCTGATAGTTGCACGTGGCAGTGCCTGGAGGACAGCATAATAGACGAGAAAGAACTGGAAGAAGATAACAAAATACAAAAGACCTACAACTAGAAATAGAACGACTGTGGCAAAGGCAAGCAAGGGTAGTACCAATAGTAATAGGCGTCTTGGATGCAATCCCAAAACAAATGGAGCACCACTTGAACACCATTGGCACTGACAAATTCGCCAATAGTCAATTGCAAAAGGCGGCCTTACTAGGAACTGCTTCCATCCTGCGACGATACCTGTAATACCACCAAACATCCACATCTGCCTATCCCAGGTCCTGGGTAAGGACTCGATAGGTAGACAAAATGCAAATCCAGTCTGAACATCTGGCTGACTGTGCAATGATCCACCATAAGAATAATAATAATAATTAATAATCATATTAATAATAAAAAAGAAGAAGAAGAAGAAGAAGAAGAAAGAAGAAGAAGAAGAAGACGAAGAAGAAGAAGAGAAAGAAGAAGAAGAACGAAGATAACAACAAAAAATGAGAAAAAAGAGCAAAGAAAATCAAAAATGGTCAAGAACCAGGTGAAGATGAACTGCATGGGTTTTGGTTGAAACATCTAACTGTTATACATCCACTCATTTCCAAGCAGTTCAACAATATACTACAAGGAGGAGAAATTGAAAAGTGGATAAAACTGGGAAAACCTACCTAATAATGAAAAATCCAGCAAAAAGGGCAACACCAGGCAACTACAGGCCAATTACCTGCTTACCAACAACTTTCAAATTACTAACTGGTGTGGTAGCTGATGCAGTACAACAGCATCTAGTTGAAAACAATCTCTTTCCACCCGAGCAGAAAGGAAACCGCCCCAATAGCAGAGGAACAAAAGATCAACCATATAGACAAAATGATCTTGGAAAACTGCAAGAGAAGGAAGACAACCTGAATGTGACATGGATTGACTACAAAAAGGCATTTGACTCTCTGCCACATGATTGGATAATCAAGTGCCTAGAAATAACAGGAGTAAGTAGAAACATCAGAAAATTTGTGCAAAAATCGATGGCACAATGGAAGACAAAGTTGC